GCACTGGAAACGGAGAAAGCAGCGCTGCCGCTGCCGACGTCGGCCGCGCAGCCAACGCACACACATGCATACAAACACACACACGGACACTTACTTACTTGCGCTCTCTATTTCCCTCTCTCTCTCTCTTGCTTTCGCCGCTTTCTCCTGGCTCTCTGATGCCCTCTTGCTCTAACCTATTGCTTATTTGTGAACGCTCCGCTGTAATGGTGACATCGCTGTTGTTGATGCTGTTGTTGCTTTTGACTTTGTTTTTGTTTTTGTATTTAGTGATGCTGGCGCAGTCGCTGCCTCAGCCGGCGTCGCTGCTTTGGTGTTGGTGTTGCTGTTGCTTTTGCTGTTTCTGTTTCTGTTGATTTTGGCCATTTGCCGCTCCCAAAAGTATGCTTTGTAATTTTTTGTATTGTGCGCGCACATCTTCGGCTTTCTGCTTTCTAGTCCTGCTGCTGCTCCTGCCGCTCGTTCTCCTTCAACTCTGCTTCTGCTTCTGCTCCTGCTCCCCTCCTCCTCCTTCGCTCCTTTCGATCCACTGCCTGCTCAATTCATTTCGCCTTTCGCCAATTTTATTATACACAATGCGAACTGCGACGCCGACGTCGCTGCCGCTGGCTCTGCCTCAGTCGGCGTCTACGCTGCTGCGACAACGCTTTGCGTGCCCAAAGTTTCCACATTTAACATTGTAATCGGGTTTATTTTATATTCGCCATATAGAGACACGACACGCACACACACACGACTCTTAATTATTTAGCTATTATTTATGTATTTAATTATTGCTTGTTGTTGAAAAATTCCCTTGGCTTCGGAGATAGCAATAAATCTAGTTGGGAGCTTTTTGCACGCGTTTTGTTTCTCACTCGGCTTGTGGCTCTAGTTTATTTTTCCAGCGAAAATAGAGAGGCTGTAGCGCACGTTGCTAAATCTCATCCGGGACTGAAGCTGAAAATTTTAGCCAAGGTATATAACGGTACAGAGCCGAAGAGAGAGAGCCAGAGCCGAACAGCAGCAGCCGAGCGGGAGAGAGTGCGAGAGTGGAAGGGGGAGAGCAGGAGAGTACGCGACTTCTTTATGCTGGAATTTGTGTTTGTTGGGCAACATGGCGAGCATCCTTTTACGAACACCCTCGCACAAAGGACATACGGAAAAACGGAATGCGCCAGTGTGCGTTCCGTGTGTGTGTGTGTGTGTGTGTGTGTGTATGTGCAGCCGAAAATGTGCTGCCAGCGGAACTTAATGGATGAATATGAATGAAAACGCCGCAGCAGTCCAACTGAAAGGGGCGGATGGTAGGGGGCGGTAGGGGATGGCAGGGGCATTAGAAGGCAAGGGGAATTCCAGGTGGCGAAGACAAGTCCGCACGAGGCCCACGGGCATTGCTCGAGTGCCATCTTTTGTAGCAGCAACATCTACGACTGCCACATCTGCAACAGCAACACCAACAACAGCAGCAACAGCAACAACACCAAGTGTGGCAGCAACACCAACAACACTGGCAACTTTTCAATGGGACTCCTGGCGAATGAGTGTAGCGCGTTAGTGTGAGTGGCGCTGCGAGGGTGTTCGTGTGAAGTGGAAACGCTGGAAAAGCGCATTCTCACATTTCAATTAAATAATACCACCAGCGTACGGTCACAATTGCCAGTTCAATGGGCATTCTGGGCCAGCACTACATTTGTAAGCAAAGAAACCACTTAAGAAAGCTTTGAATCAATTTTAATTATTAGGTTGTTTTGTATTCAAAGCACAGCAAGTAAAGACCTATGGAGCTTCATAGTATTAAACTAGATGTTTATAAAATACATAAATGAGCAGAAAATACTACAAATACTTTAAATTAATTTATTTTAGTTTAAGAAAATACAAAACCAATAGACCCCGTAACAAAATCGTTTTTTTTTTATGTTTGGGTTGATTTTAATTATAGTTTTACCTTCACGACCACTAAAAAATATTTAGTTAAAAAATTCTGTGCCATAGAATTTGTTTCACCTCTATTTATACTTTATTTTTCCAACAAAAATAGTTAGACTGCATTATGTTTTTTTTTTCAGGGCAAAGTATCAAGATAAATATGAGCATTAGGCGGTTTATCAGCCGTGATAAAATGATTAACAAGAAAATGATTACACACATAAATGTGTCAATAGACTTGTTGAGAGTCATATGACTATTTAAATAATCAAATATAAAATAGTATCACCTGATAGGGCACAATTAGGTTCAAGTGGCATTCTGAACCACCACTCCATTTGGAAAGCCAGATAAACCGTTTATCATTGGTTTTTTTCATGACAGACAAAAACATGCCATTTATTATTTTTGTAGGGTTAGCAATCGGGCTAACATGTAGTTTATTTTAAATCTTAAGTCTTTTATCTTAAGTTAATTTAAATTGAAAATAATATTTATTCCCTTTACAGAAACATTGAAATTAAAAGCAATGATATTAGATTCCTTTAAAACCTGAACTTTTTTAAATTAACAATTTTAGTGTTTTTAAACTCTGTTTTGAGCTTCTGGGAACTAAAAGGCATCTTGATGATTACCCAGCTAAAATGTAATTAAGTTAGAGTATTTTAACTTCGAACCCTTTGACAATTACGCGCGAGTCCCTCAAGTGCCTTGGCTTTATTAATAGCAACTCATGTTGCGTTTAAACTGGACAACAATGGATCTAACGCGCCTGACATGGCACTGGCAATGGCACTGGCACTGGCACTGGCAGTGGAAGTGGCAGTGGCAGTGGCAGTGGCCCCAGTGAACCCACACCCTGCCACACAGAACCTACATCACCCATCCAAATCCTGGCAACCGACAAGCCCGCACTTTCCCCTTGGGCTTGGCATGTGTTAAGGTCTGCGGATACTTTCTGTATGCTCGTCATACTCATATATGATATAAAATACATAAATGGACAATGCATAAGGAAAGATGAGTAAGAGCTCTGTGCCACTGGGCGCACGGGGGTTGGGGACGAGGAAATGGCCGCTTCGGATTAGGGGCAGAATTGATTGTGAGTGGGATGTGGGTGTGGTCCTGAGCTTACAAAATCCCAAGAACTGCTGCAATAAATGGCCAAAAATCGAGTGCTGCAGGAAGGTCGAGTTTATCAGTGGCCAATGCATCCCATATGCTGGAATTTGGTAGCGACACTCTCGCTTGACGAAGCCGCAAAATTCTTCAAAGTGCCCCCACATCCCACATCGCCCATACGCACCGTTGACCATGTAATCGAAAGGCACAGCATGGCATCGCTCAACTAGAGAGATGCCAAGCCCAGTGGACAGATATTGCTGGCATGCCGGCGAGAGTTCAGCAATTTTTGGTACTGACATATTTTCCAAAATTCGAGCACAATTTCCCTTTGGCCCTCACTCAAGCTGAGTTACTGCAGTTAAGTTGCTGAAGTTTCGACGGCAAAGTTTTGCCTTTAATCTCATCAAATTAAATTAAAGCTAGGGTAAAAGAATCTGGCTAAGAGCAAAGTCTCGGGCAATTTTCATAAAAACAATAGACTTAAACGCCATCCAAAAAGAAAATAACAATTCTTTGTAATTTTTCTATTCTTTTTTAATATTTTTTTTGTTGAATATTGTTTTTGTTTAATTTTAAATATATATATTTATATAAAATATATAAGCATAAACGTTTACAAATATAAATATCTTTTATCGTTACCCGACGGCCTTCTCTCACTTTCCATCTGCATATCTACGTCCGTCTGCAACTCGAAACTCGAGTGCTCACACAATTTGTTTTATGGAATCCCAACATCTCACATATTTCTCCTGTTGCCACATATTAACTTTTGCTAAACTTTTCTGTCTCTAAGTGTGTGTGTGTGTGTGTGTCTGTTAAGTTGGATAGTTAAGATACCATTATTTATAGATATATTTACAATAGCAGTAGGGTCAACAAAAAATATTTGTTTGGTTTACGTATGTTTGTCCTTTTCTTTGCTGGAGCGGGAGTGTGTGAGTGTGTGTGTGTGTGTGTGTGTGGTGTGTTAAACATAGATAAATATTAAGTAAATTTAATTCTGCTCTTGACGGTTCGGTTCGTGCACATATAACACATATGCCTATACATGTGGACATGTATGGTTCGTAGATATGGATTGGATTTCTCGACAGATCGATAGACATGTACAATAATAATAATAATAATAGTAATAGTAATAGAACAATAGGCTAACATACACTGCAAGATGATAAAATTAAACTTATGCAATACGTTTTTACGACACAAAAAACTTAAGCTTGACCCGACGCGCTGCTTGGCACGGCTTTCATACATACACGTCCATCTGAAATATACATATACTCTATACCCTTTCTCTCTATGTATATATATAATAATAATATATATAAGCCAAGGCAGAGGCGCCCAATCTCTGGCGGAAGCCTTAATGGATGGCTGACAATTGTTTTGTTACGTTCTGCATAGCTGTCTGTCATAGCTGCTGCCGCTGCAGTTCCTTTGTTATCCTGCTCCCGGCCCGCCTCAGCCCTCGGAATACGAACTGAGGCTGCTGCGCGTCGAGCCGGTGAAGTGATCTCGCTGCAGCGTGTCCGCGGGCATGGACACAATCAGGGCGCCGCCGTACAGGGTCTCCATTTCGTCCAGTTGCTGGGCGAAGGTCTCCTCCAACTGCTGCTTTCGGAATATCAGTTATACATTAGAAACATATAGACAACGAGAACACACTTTACTAGGCAACAACATTCAGTCTGACAATATCAAGTTAGAGAGTGATATGGAAATCGGGGTGAAAGGAAAGTTTAGCTATATAGCGCATGCATTAGTAGGACATTTAGAGCTGAAGAACTATACATAGAATACACAGTGTCGTCTTCCGCAACCACCAGATATGAAGTATACGACCCATATCCCATGGTCTGGGAAGCACACTGGGGATAGATCAAAGGACTAACCTCTTGTTGCAGCCGCTGCTGTAGTTGCTTTACACATTACGAGAAGAGGAGAGCCGGCAAGAAAAGTTTTTGGATACAGATTTTTTTGATTTGGTTTGGTTTGGTTTTTGTTTGTTTGTTTTTTTTTGGTTTTCGATAGCAGCGCATTGTTGTTTGCATGTGGGAGTGTTTATAGATATATATATATGTGTGTGTAAAGTGAAGCATCATGAAATTTGCAATATGATAAGATTTATTTGTATGTTCATAGTTATACGAGTGTTTAGAGTAAGATATGGCTACACAAATGCTTGGCATGTGGCTAAGTGGAATGTTGATTGTATTCTTCTTTATTATTCTCTCGTTTCGTTTACTAAGTACTTCGATAATACTGCTTAAATGGAATGCATTTGGAAGCGGATGGCTGGTCCAAGTCAGGCAAATACTCTAACATTAAAACAAAACACTTTTCGTTCAATAATATAGCATAGCAATTCCAACAAACATAATCAACTTTTGGCAAGACAGAGTGTATGGCAATTTCCGATGCAGAGCGCGTTCGCGTTAGTAGGTAAGAATAGTTATGGCTAGACATATTCGGTTAGCAAGATGAGGTGTTTTTTTTGGGTGGGGGGACTGACTACTGGGGACGAGCATTTAGCCAGCACCAGGCGGGGAATGAAAAGCAGGTGGATTCGGTGTCAGTAGGTGTGAGTACAGGTTTGATTGACTGGTAAGTGTTTAGTAGTAGTGCATTTAGGAAACTGGCTGCTGCAACGTGGCAAGTGCTGTTCGCAATGGATCATTCTCCGTCCTAGATGGCCGATGAATCCTCCTCACAGCTGTGCTGCCGCTGATTGACCCTCGGCAATCGGTACTTGGCCGCATACAGGTCGTAGTAGAAATCATCCGAGGGGGCGGCCGAATCCGCCGATGCCACGCTGCCATTGAGCCTGTGACTGTGGTGGTCCGGCTTGAGGGAGGACCTCAGCTGCGGCTGCACTTCGTCCAGTAGGGCGGCCGCCTTGCGTCCCGAGTCGAAAATCAAGTCTGCATCGCTGGTGTAACGCGTGGACAGCTCGTTGATGTTGTACATCGACTGGGCACTGCTCAGCGAGGATCGGCCGCTGCTGCGACTGGCCAACGAGGGTCGCTTGATGGCAAACGAGGTGGTGTGCAGCAGCCGTTGCGTGTGCGCCGTTAGCACTGGTCCCTCGTGGATGCGCAGCTCCACGCCGCCGCTGCCGCCGCTGGCCTCTGCCGCTGCCTGGGCATCCAGACGGCTGAATCGGTTGCTCACCAGGCCAAGATCATCGGGAGTTTTCAGTGGCGGCGGCGGCAGCGGTGGTGTACTGCCCCGGAAAGTACTCATGGCTGGCTTGGCAGCATTCGCATCCTCGGCACTGTTCAGTGGCGGCGTGGTGGTCACCACCTTGACCAGCTCATTGGCCGGCAGTTGAGTGATCAGGCGCAGCTGGCTCTGGGCCGGCAACGTGGTCACGCTGGCCCGCTTCATCTGCTCGCTCAGCAACTGCTCCTCGTCCTCCTCCAGCACCAGATCGCTGATCATCTGCGATCGCTGTTGCTTGTGCAGGATCGGAGTGCTGGGCACACTGCGGCTGAGATCTGGCGCTGAGCCGCGGAAGTTGGACAACCGACTGCCGCCGCCGCCCATCATCAGCAGCGAGGAGCGGGAGCGCGGCAAGTGCTGCGGATCAATGAAGGTGTTGCGGGGCAGCAGGCGCGAGGATCGCTCGTTGTAGATGTTGCGCAGGTGCATGGGCAGCTTCACCTCCTGGTCCTCGAACTCCTCGCGATTGAGCACCAGGCCGAAACACTGCTCGTGCTGATCGATGGCCACCTTGATGCGTTGGTTCAGTTCCTATGCTCGTTTCGATTTGGTTGTTAAACACATGCATGACCAAATCCGTTGATCGGTTGGTTGATTTTTTTGTTTTTTTTTTGTTTTTGGTTAGTAGTTGGGAAGCACAGCGGTAAGCATTTTTTATATATTTGGTTTTTATCAGTTATCAGTTATCGGTTTTGGTTTTTGTTTTTGTTTTAGTTTTGTAGGTAGTAGTAGGTACAGTAGGCCACCAAAGTGAATGCATTTGCGTGGGTGTAAAGAGAGAGAAAAAGTTGAAAAAATAATTGGATTAAGTTCAGCCTTGGTTCAGCCAAGTGGCAGCGGTTTAAAGATGAGCCAGTGGTTCGTCAGTCAATTTCCCAGTTGTCGTATCAGTAGCAAAGATTACCGACCCGCCTCACAATTAGAAATATATTATCTAATGATGATTCACTGTCTCTTTTCTGTTCACCCAACAAACTTATACTTATACTTATTGATTGAATGACAAATCAGTTGAGTAAAGACAATTAAATTAACTAAGGCAATCCACCCCCGTCTATGGCTCATCTCTAAACCGCGCAACTTTGACGGAACGGAACGGGTCGGGATGGGTTCTCATTTTTAAGGGAAAGAGGGTAGCACAAGACACCACAGTTCACCGTAAACCAATCAATATACATTGAGTATCATTACCAACTTATATTAAACGAGTTGAGCTACTTTGTACAATCAATAAAAAAAAAAAACACATAACACCAACAAAGTAAGGCGGAGAGCATTGGCTGAAAGAGCTCTTGGGCGGGTTAAAAGTAGGGACCTGTTGGCATACACACCTGTTTGCGAGGCACCAACTGTTCGCGCCACTCGCGCAGCTCGCCCTTCAGTCGTTCATCGATCTCCGACAGCTTGGAGTGCTCATGCTCCACCAGAGCCCGGCGCTTCTCGTTCTGGAGTTGCTCCAGCTCTCTGCAAATAGTTGTAAATGAGTATTGACGGAGGTGATAGATAGTTAAGAAATAACCCACTTTATGGCGCTTTCGCGTGTGGCGCGCAGCTCCTCTAATTGCTTTTGATGCTTGACCTCAAACCGACGCTCCTCCTGCATGTAGCGCTTCTTCTCCTGCTCCTGGAACTGCAATTGAAATCGGTATAAGTTCATGTTTCTCGCAATAACTTTTTAGTTCACTTGTACCTTCTTCAAGCGATCGCGTTCCATTTCGGGATCTAGGTTCGTGGATATACGCAGGGATTCACGGAACATGAGGTCTCGTGCCTTGCGCTCTGCCCGGATTCGCTTGGGCAGCGCTCGCTTCTCCATCGTCTGCTTCTTGACCATGTCCTCCTCCTTGCGCTGCAGCATGCGCTTCACCTGATCCAGCTCCTTTTCGTGCCGGATGATCATTTGGTGGCGCTGCATGAAGCACAGATCCTTCACATGCCGCTTGGACAGCTGGTGGCGCTCATGCAGCTGCTTCTCCTCCAGCTCCCAGAGCAGTGCCTCCCGCGTCCTCATCGCGTTCTGCTTCTGCTGCAGGAAGTTGCGGTTGATGGAGGCCAGGTGCTCGCGATGCTTCTCGCTGAGTCGTCGCAGCAGCAGCTCATGCCGCTCCTTGAGGGAATCGAGGAAGGCGCGCTCCTTCTCCTCGTGATCCAGGTCCATGGCCGAGCGGCGCTGCTTGAACTCATCCTTGCGCTTGTCTTTGGGCAAGAGGTCCACCTCATGCTTGAGCAGCTTGATCTCCTGCTTGAGGTTCTCGCGGAAGATCTTCAGCTCCTGCTCCTGCTCGGAGCGAATGCGCTTGGACGTGCAGCGCAGCTCGTTCTCCTGCGACTGCTCGGTCTTCTCCACCAGCTGCTTGTGCTGGCGCGCCAGCATGTCCATGTCCGCCTCGTAGGTCTTCTCCAGCGAGGAGCGCTCCTGCTCGAAGCGACGATCCTGCTGCTCCTTGGCCTGCTGCTCCTTCAGGTACAGCTCGGTCTGCTGTTTCTTCTCCTGCTTCTGCAGCATCTTCAGTTCGCGCAGCTCCTGCTTGCGGAAGTCGTGGTCGTCGTAGATCCGTCCGTTCTCATCGTCGCCGTAGATCACACGACTCGTGGTGGTGGTCATCTGCACGCCATCGATCTCGAACTTGCGCGTGCGCTTTCGTGTCTTCTTGCGCAGATTGCGCAGCTCAATCTCCTCTTTGGTGAGGCCTTGGGCATTCACAGACTTGACCACGGGCGGTACCCTCGCCTTGGGCCGGATGACCACCTCCTCCTCCTCGTTGATGGTCTCATGTGGACTGTGGTTATTATTCGTCACCGACGGCGGCGGTGGCGGCATCAGCACTGCCGCTGCTGGCTGCACCTGCTGCTGCTGCTGCTGCTTGTTATTGTGATCCACCTCGTTCCGGCTGTCCTGACTAGTGTTGGTGCCGATGCTGTCCACGTCGGATCCCCCGCTGCCGCCCACCAGCACCTCGATGCCCCGGCGGCCGCGCACCGAGCCATTCTCGCTCAGCGAGCTGTCCGGCGATCGCTTCTCCTGCTTGAATCGGTTCACAATGATGTTCACGTCCTCGGGCACAAGGCCCAGTCCGTTGGGCTGGCGCTTGCCCAACTCATTGCTGCTGTCCTTCACCTTGACGCCCTCGTCGCCCACGGTGACCACGGAAACGTGGCTCGTGTCCATCAGATGGTCGCTGTGATCGTGACTGTGGCTGCCGGATGCCGTGTTGTAGGCGGAGTCATCATCCGCGTACGAGGGACTCACAATCAACACCTCACTCTCGTCCAGCTTGCGAGCGTGGACAGTGGAGGCTGTTTGCGGAGTGGGCACCACTCCTGCCGGCTCATTGACAGCCAATATCATGGAGGATTGCTTGTGGGGCGGTGTGCTGCTGGCATCGCCCAAACTGTCGTCCAGCGAGGGGAAGTCGTCGTCCGTCGACGACTCGTGCAGGTGGGTGCTCTTGTTCAGATCGTTGGACACAATGATCACCTCGTTCTGCGGCGGCGGCACCACCGAGTTGTCGATGATCACCGGCGGATGGGTGCTGGTCACCACAGTGATTTGGCTCACAGACTCCAAACTGTTGGGCAGCACCAAATGCTGCGCTGGTGGCGCTGGCAACTGCTGGTGATGCTGCGGTGTGGGTGGATCGCTGTTGATGGTGATCAGCGAAGTGCTCGAGCTGAGGACAGCATTCGAAACGCTGCCCGAGGAGCTGGAAGAGGCCACCGACTGCACGGACACAATGGAGGAGGCTGTGGGCGAGGGCGGCTGCGGCTTCGGCTCCATCGCCTCCTGGCCAATGGCCACTTCAATGGCCGTGGTGACTGAGGTGGCGGGTTCGGGCGTGGTTTGCTTTTTGGGAGATGTCTGGGAGTCGCTGGCCGGCGACTTGGCATTTGCAAGACCCAAGGGAGACGGTGGGGGCGGCGCTTTGCCCTTTTCCTTTTTGACAAAGTGCTATAAAAGAGGGCGAGCATTCAAATCAGTTTGTTTGGTATTGTTAAACGAGAAGATGAGTGCTTACCTTCTTGTCGGATTCGGTTTTTTCAGCTGCCTCAGTTGCAGCTGCCACATCTTCGGGTTTCTTTTGCAGCACGGCCGCTGTGGTTGGGGCTGGTGGTGTTGGTGGCTGCTGCTGGACTGGCGGTGGAGGCGTTTGTTGGGACGACGACGGCGGCGCTGGAGCTGGCACTTTGGTATGCGGCGGCTGCTGGGCTGCCGCTTCAGCATTGTCATCCTTTGTGTGGTTTGGTCTGTCCGGAGTGGTTGCTGTTGCTTTTGTTGTGGTTGTAGCTGCTGCTGCTGCTGCAGTTGCCGCTGCTGCGATTGGTAAACTGCTACTTGGTTGGGACTGCTCTTTGGCATCCCGCAAAATGGATGTAGGTGTACCTGGAACTGCAAAAGGGTAAAGCATATATATAATCTGGAGCTCTAAAAGTAAATCAATTAATTGAGATGCTTACGTTTGTCAATGTCTTGGCTCTGCAGCGAAGCAGAGTCATCGTCCAGGTCGAGCTGGAGCGCCGAGTTGCGGGGTTCCTGGGGAAGATTAACAAATGACTCATTAGCATATCGATAATTATAGTGTTTCCTATAGAAAACTAGCACGACTACTTGACTTTTACGACATCAGCAACTCAAACAACAAATTTTTTACTATAATTAACCATATTCGACATGCCGAATTTGCATAATAGTTTAAAAAATTATCACTGCTGTGAGTAATACTTATTTTTAAGCAGCAAAGCCATCCCAAAAGAATGTGTTTACATCCGACGTTGAACCAAAAAACGCATTGTTTGCTAATCCGTTTTTTTATTGCTCCATAAACAATGTCTGAGTGTTTGATGTAAGAGGCTTTCAGTTAGCGAAACGGACAATTCTGGTTAGACTGATTAGTAATTTAAAACCCTGTGTCGTTGAAAGTGTTCTTGCTATAACTACCGTCAGAAACCGATAGCAAGGCAAGGGTTTACGGAGAAACCAAAGCACATAAACAAGTACAACGAAGGAGCTAGTGATAAGCAGCATTTGGCAATGCTGATAAAATAAGTAAACTAATTGTGCCCCCGCCCACTGAGATGCAATGCCGGATGAGGGGTGCGGGTACGGGTGCTGGGAACGGACGGAGCGCGGACGACTGGGTTGCTGTAGAACGACTTACCAACCCTCTGATAGAGCGAGCGCCGCTTCACTTGGCGTTTAAGCTTCTATATCAATTATTTCCAAGTAACCACATACAAATGATAATGATAAGAACAAACATTGCGACATTTTGGCAGAGTGGAATGGAACAGAACAGAACAGAACCGAACACAACACAACGTAACATAAACGCAAGGCAAAGAATAGTCGAGAATAAACCAAGATAAACGTATGAAAATAAAATATCGCGCGGTGCGATTTTGGTTGGGTTGAGGCGGCAGCGTGTAAGAGAGAAGAAAGAGCAGTTGGAGAGGTGAGAAAACGTAGAGATTATCATCACATCTAGCATTTGGTCTACGTGGGTGCGGTGCAGGGCACAGGGATACATCCCGGGGACTACCAGGGCACACTCACCTCGGTCTCATCGTCCACCACCTCCTCCACGACCTCGGCCTTGTATTCGAGCAGCAGGTCTTTGATGGGCTTCGCATCCAGATGCCTGTTGATGAAGCCATGCTGCATCAACACATCCGTTGTGGGCCTCACTTGTGGATCCTATTGGGCACAAAATAATACTTCAGTCAGGAAAAAGAGTTACTCCAGATCAAAAAGGTTAACCCACCTTGACTAAAGACTTCTTGAGGAAGTCGTTGAACTCCTTGCTCCATCGCGAAGGCTGTTCCAGCTTGGGCGGCTCGCTCTTTTGGATCTTGAGCAGCACTCGCATGGGCGACATCTCGCTGTTGGGCGGCTCCATCTGGGCCAGTTCGATGAGCGTGATGCCCAGCGACCAGATGTCCACTTTGTGATCGTACGGATTGTCCCGGAATGTTTCGCAGAGCACCAGCTCCGGGGCCATCCAGTAGGGAGTGCCGATGAAGGTGTCGTGCTTCTGCATGGTGTGTTTGTTCTTGGCCGAGACGCCGAAGTCCGCTGAAATGTGAAAGTTTATATAAATCGATGATTGGAGTGAGGGGTAGCCCAAAGACCTACCCAATTTAACGCCGCCCTCCATGGTGAGCAGCACATTTCCGGCCTTCAAATCGCGATGGATGACTTTGTTGCGGTGCAGGAAGGTAAGACCCTCCGTCATGTGCTTGCAGACGTAGGCAATTTGCGGCTCAGTCAGAGGCTTTTCCAGCTCCACCATGATGCTGTCCAGGGCTCCACCATCGCAGTACTCGATGAGCATCTGTAGGTGGGGATTTACCAAAAGATTACTCTGCTTTCTGATTCCAAAAACCGCACTCAGATTCTCACCCAAAGCTTATCATCGATGGAGAAGGCCTCGTACAGCTCCACCACATTGGGGTGCTTGATCTCCGAGAGAATATCGATCTCGACCATGTGATCGCTGAGGTTCTCCTCGTCCTCCAGCTGGCACATTTTGGCGGCGGCATAGCGCTTCTGCTCCTTGTGCTGGGCCTTGTAGACCTTGCCGAAGGCCCCGTCGCCCAGTTCACCGACCATTTCCCAGAACTCCTCCGGATCCGTGTCCATCTTGATGTTGTTGTACAGGCGCTTCTTCTTGGCCTCACCCCCGCCGAGGTGGAAGACCTTCTTCAGGTTGTTTATAAAAGACATTTTCGCTCTTTTGTAGATTTCCCCTGCTGCTGCTGCTGCTGATGACGATGATGATGATGATTTGGGTTGAGTCTACATAGTGAGCTCCTGGGCGAGAGTCCAAGCAGGAAAACTAGATTTGGTGAAAGCTGCGGACATTGGCAAGCGTTTATTGATTGGCTCGTCGGCACACGACACACGGCACACGGCAGGTGTATGGCAAAGTATGGACTTGGCAGGGGCTCAAATCCGGTGGAACTACGGTTAAACCCATAGAATGTTCGAACCGCCGTAGTATTAGCCCAGTTCTTGTGGGTCTAATATGTATGTCTAAAAACTCACCTTTTCAGACGTTCTTGGCACTCGCACTCTCTCTTTAAGGTTCCTTCGCTTTTTTAGCGAAATAGGCCAACGAGCGGGGATTGTGGGCTTGGTTTGGCCCGTCTTTAGCGCTTCTGTATGTTTTATAATTTAATTAGCAGCTCGCGAGCTCTAATATTTGTAGAAAAAACACGTACGAATGGGAGGAAAATGATTACAAACGAGAAAAAGTCAAAGACGTAGACAAAAGAGCGCAGCGTGTGTGTGACTGTGTGAAGGTATGTGTGCGTGCGTCGCATCCAAGTGTTTGTGAGCTGGTCTCTGGGCTTTTAAGTCCCCCCTCTCTCAATCACCCTACTCTCTCGCCCCCCGTCTACCACTTAATTTGGCCAAATCTCGGCGAAACTGGCGATTTTACAGAGACCAGTTGGCAAATAAGTTGTGGCGCCTTGAATTCGCACTATGCAGCTCGCAATTTGTAAACAACACGCGCACGAATCGCACTTTTAAGTGAACGCAACCACTCATTGATGATTACACGGAGCAAACGAAGTCGGCAAATGGGCGTGAAACTTGAGGACGCACGCAGTCACGAATTTGGAATTTGGGTATTACCTCATCCACACACACTCATTGTTTCGGTCTTCGGCTTTATCAATCTCTGCACTATCTCTGCTTTTATTGTTTTTCAGCCGCACACTCTTTCGCGGAGGCGTTTAAAATATATTTTCCCCCGAAAACGCTTAGAAATTTCTCTCGCGCAAACGCTTGGTGTTGCCAGTGCGTTGCGATTGCAACGTTGCCGGCGATCTGGCAAGGCCAGCAAAAAATGGCGTTTAGGTCATCTGTGCGAGAGGAGAGCAGCACTATTTGCCTTCGCCAAGGGCAAAAACAGAAACAACACACACTCGCTTACACACAAACACACACAGGCAGGCGAACGACGAAAATAATTAATTTAATCGATTTGCGGCGCAATTACTTTGTTGATTTGCGGGCGAGCAGCAGGTGCAGCCTCACTGACCGTTCTTTTTCGCACTTCCGCTGTCCGATTGCACACTTTCTAACTGTCTGCACGGCGCTTTTCTTCTCATGATTTTTCCACAAGCACTGTGTGACCGTTTCTCGATGGCATAAATATAACCAAAAGGGGATGGGGTGTTGGGTTCGGCAAGTCAAAATGTTGATACCCTTTCTGTTTTAAAATAAATAAATTATCCAATCAGTTGTTTGTTTTATATTTCCTATTGCAGCCATTGGACACATTCCTTTTATGTAGTTTACAAGTATAAATATGTATATATCTTAACAATTTGTATAAATCTTTGATATTAAAGCACTTTTAATTCTTTGTCTAGATAGTTCCTTATAAGAATATAAGACAGGTCCTAAAATCTGTTTAACATGATTCAGGGCGAAATATAAACAAAAATTAACGGAAATAGTGAAATTTAGTGCAAAAATCTGGCAGCCCTGCATGGTTTCAAGACTCCTATTACACACTTTTAGAGGATTTTTGAAGATTAAATTAGGAACTCTACTTAAGTTGGCCTTTAATTGACTCCCTAAAATAGAATTATGCATTTTGGCATCCGTATGGGATGTAAAAAATTGGGGAAATAAGAATAAATGCTGTTTCCCGCGTACCACAGAGTGTGACCAGTTGTCGCCGTGGCAGACATCCACCTTGAGCGTGGCATTGTGGCATATAAACGAAAACAAACGGCTGCCACACCGCAAACCGTTTCTGCTTGTCATTTTGCTCTGAATTTTTTGCCGCAAATTGCAGGTAATTTCGCGAAATATAGGAGTCGCAGTAAGCCGAACCCCACAAAAAACAAAGCAGCCTGGCACCTAGCAAGCGGTGCATACGTCTCAGAAACCCCCAAACCGAAAACCCATAAAAAGCACAAACATGCCGTCGCTGGAGGTGAGCGTAAACAAAGTGATAGTGCATCCACTGGTTCTGCTGTCCGTGGTGGATCACTTCAATCGGATGGGAAAGATTGGCAACCAGAAGCGCGTTGTGGGTGTTCTCTTGGGCTGCTGGCGCTCCAAGGGAGTGCTCGATGTGTCCAACAGCTTTGCGGGTTAGTACTCCAAGCAGAACATCTGGAAATACAGCTCAAAATTACACATTTCCATTTGCAGTGCCCTTTGACGAAGACGACAAGGACAAGTCGGTGTGGTTCCTGGATCACGATTACCTGGAGAACATGTACGGCATGTTCAAGAAGGTGAACGCCCGGGAACGAGTGGTGGGCTGGTACCACACAGGACCCAAGCTCCACCAGAACGACATAGCCATCAACGAGCTGGTGCGCCGCTATTGTCCAAACTCCGTGCTGGTCATCATCGATGCCAAGCCCAAGGATCTGGGCCTGCCCACAGAGGCGTACATATCCGTGGAGGAGGTCCACGACGACGGCTCGCCCACCAGCAAAACCTTTGAGCATGTGCCCAGCGAGATTGGCGCCGAAGAGGCGGAGGAAGTTGGCGTGGAGCATCTGCTGCGCGACATCAAGGACACCACCGTGGGCAGCCTGTCGCAGAAGATCACCAACCAGCTGATGGGACTGAAGGGCCTGAATGCCCAGCTGCGCGACATCAAGCAGTATCTGCAGCGCGTGGGTGACAGTAAGATGCCCATCAACCACCAGATCGTCTACCAGCTGCAGGACATATTCAACCTGCTGCCCGACATCACCAACGACCAGTTCACAGGCACCATGTACGTTAAGACCAACGACCAGATGCTGGTCGTCTACCTGGCCTCCATGGTGCGCTCGATCATTGCCCTGCACAACCTGATCAACAACAAGCTGGCGAACCGCGACGCCGAGGAGGGCAAGAGCGACAGCAAGGAGGCCAAGGAGAAGAACAAGGAGAGCAAGGACAAGGACAACAAGGAGACCAAGGACAAGGACGGCAAGAAGGCGGAGGAGAAGGCCGACAAGGGCAAGGACGAAGGCGGCAAGGGGTCGCGCAAATAGGAGCGAAAGAAGAAGCGCAAGCCCCGTCGCAAGCGAAAGAAGCAGGGCCCGCAGGACTAGCTGCTACTGCTGCTGCTTCTTGTGGCGTCCAGGAACTGGAAACACCGGCGTGGGTGTGCAACGGCCTCAGACAAACCAACATTGCCACCATTCATCGTTCATTGTCCCCATGAAATCAAGCTCCCTCTTTATTATTTCGCCAGCTACGCGTAACTAACTAACGGCAAGTTTATGTAATTAAAAATTAAATAATTTAAATACTCCGCTTGTTTGCTTGAAGGACTATTAGAGCAGCTGGTTGCCTTGTTCCACTCAAAAGAAATACTTTGTTGCTTCTGTTTTCTTATTTCGTAAAACCGAAATTATATTTAAAACAAATGAAATCATCAAACACCTTGGAAAGGCAATGTAAATGGCTGTGTTACGATTGCCCCTCCAACGCGGAAAAAACGTGTGAGTAATGCATTGTACAGGGCGTTCTCTATCTTAGAGCAGTTATTACTTAGAAAGCATTTTACCAAATTTCACTTGACTTACAGCTAAGCTAGTTAACGCTTACGAACTAAGGCTAGGGTTTTTGTTTATATTAACACCATCGATGGCTGGACACAACTAGAATACTTAGCCAACAAACTAGATTAAACGTTGAGTTCCTCGTTCCTCCCTCTTCGGTAATGACATATATATTGGGGAATCCTGCAAAATGGCTGCTTTGCAGGACTCCCCGTGGCATAGGGATAGAGACAGAGGCTTCCCCTTAGACCAGCCACTCGCTGGCCAGCGGGAACTTGAGCGGCTGGCAGCTGTTCAACCTCAGCGAGCAGTTATTGTCCTCGGCAGCAAGTGGGATCCTCGAGTTGATCATGGGATTGCTCTGCACCGAGCAGAGGCTTAAACTATGGCTATGCGACTGCCTAAGACTAGCACTAATGATATCGCTGCTGATCCGATGCTGTTGCTGTTGATACTGTTGCTGATTACGGCTACGATTCTGATCCTCCGGCGGGCAGGTGTGGTTGCAGATGAGATTGTTTGAGTGGAAGGCCGCATGGCAGCTCCTTCCTTCGGCCCCTGAGGTTGTTGGTGACAAGCTGTTGCAGTTGCTGTTGCTGTTGCTGCTGCAGTTGAAGTTGTAGATCTTGATGCTGGTGCAGCTGGTGCGGATGTTGAGACGGACCTGGGCGTGGTCATGTCACACCGAGGTGCCTTGCTGGCCGGGCACCACCGATCCGCAGGACTCCTCTGGCTGGAAGGACTCCTGCAGCCTCTGGCGGCATCCGCCCTTCGCCGCGAAGCAGAACTTGTAGACGATGTACAAGGGAATGCACAGCACCGAGGAGCAGGTGACGGCCCAGCCCACCTTATAGCTCCAGTCCGGATAGTAGTACTCCTCGCCCAGCATCTCCTTGTAGCCCATTATGGAGAATATGAAGATGGTCTGCAAGTGTTTCACAATTTGTTATTTAAATATATTTTTAATGCTTTATTTATGTCTCACCAGCAGGAATACGGGACTAATGTATGTCCAGCAGATCCGCCAGAATAAACCTGGCTTGCTGCCCAGCATCTGTTCCACATCCGCGCTGAAGCGATCCACGCCGTAAAACCAAAACACTCCGGCTGCCTCCACAAAGACCACAAAAAGTATGGCCAATCCAGGTCCGTAGACATTCAGGAAGTTGACCAGCACCACACCGCCCTGAAAGGATATGGAATTTTTATATTGTATTTAGTTTCTGTATTTATTTAATGCTAATTTGTAAGTTTTTCCGGTCTTTTTTAAGTACATTCTCATCATAATAGACCAAGACCGTATCTCCCATCAACAGGTTCCCTCTCAACTGGCACTGATAAATGGCTGTGGGCTGAGTTATTGAATAGCTTGATCCCTTGACCGATACTGGTCACTCCAAGTGGCCGAGTAACCAAGTGACCAGGACAGGCAGAAATAAAGAAGGCAGCAAATTACAATTTCAAATGTAATCAGATAAAGTGGCGGGAGTAAGAACTTTGGTGCTGCGGTGCAGGACCAACTGGCTCATCGTTGGTGGTTGTTTGACCAGGTTGAAGGCAAACAAGCCCACCGCTCTTGACAGGTGATAAAAATGCAGGAGAGCGAAAAGGGAGTGAGTGTGTGTGTGTGTGTGTGGAGCTTAACTGGCGAACGATAGAAAGCACTTAACACGGCAATCCATCGACTTCTAGCTGGCATATTTAAACAGGGGTTGCTATCAGCTAGATGGTGCGTTAAATGGGCCACTTGGACATGCATGCATATGTATCATTGGTGCTTGGGAGTTAATTAACCGAATCAAGGCGTACTCACGTAGGTCATTGTGGGCAGGGCGCACAGGAAGATGAAGGCCAGGAGCAGCAGGACGAACAGCTCCCTTCGCCGGCCAATCACTCGCGGATATTCGTCGCACAGGGCCGTTATCATCGCCTCCAGTCCGCCAAAGGTGCTGTCCAGTCCCAGGGTGATCAGCATCAGAAAGAAGATGATGCTCCAAAACACCGATCCGCTCATCGTGGCTATGGCCTCTGGATAGACGATGAACACCAGTCCGGGTCCCTCTAAGCCCACTTTGTCGATGGAGGTCTTTTGCACGTAAGCCATGTACCTGTAAAAAAAGAAATGTCGTTAACTAACCAATACTATTTCATAACTCAGTAATAAATCACTTATAAAGGTGCCTAAAAGTAGGCAACGAAAATACATCGTAGTCTATTGAAGGGAATCCATTGGACTTTCAGACTTTAAATATATTGTAGCATACTTTTAGACACCTTCATAAATGAGTTCTGCAGTAATTCCAATTTTCTGTTAATTGGTTTATCTGTAAATTAAAAACTTACAAAATTTACTTTAAATTTAAAATAATTCATTATGGCGTGACAGTATTATAAATATTATCTTTAACTTACCAATACTATTTCATATTTCAGTAGTTAATTTATTCAATGGTTGCCCCAGAAATCACAAAGGTTTTAAAATCAATAAAAAAAAAAAAAAAAAAAAAAAAAAAGTTGTCCTTTGATTGGACTTTCGGACTTAACATTTATTGTAGCATACTTAATAAATAAATTCAAAGCCCAGTAATTTCTGTAGCAATCTCAATTTTCTGTTTATTTTAGGTATTATTTTCTAGGTAATTCCTAACACCTATTACTATTAATAATCTAAAAACTTAGTAACTGAGTTTGCCACTAAGGACAATAAATATTCCGCAACTTAAACTTTAAAAACTTACCCCAACACGGAGAAGATGACAAAGCCGGCCAAAAAACTGGTCAGGCAGTTGATGCTACTTGTGATGAGGGCATCCCGATAGCAATTGTTGTTGAACTTGTTGTAGCTGGACAGGGCCAGCAGGGTGCCAAATCCGGGACCCAGAGAGAAGAATATCTGCGAAGCGGCGTCAATCCAAACCTTGGAGTTCTTCAGCTTGTGCCACTCTGGTGTTAAGTAATACTTGATGCCCTCATCTGCGCCGGGCAGAGAAACTCCCCTGACCAGCAGAATGATAAGCACCACATATGGAGCCAGGGCTGTGACCCACACCACTTTTCCGGCACTTCGCACTCCCTTCCAGAGTGAGAAGTACACCAGAACAAAGACCCCGAAAACGCAAAGTGCCAGCGTTGGCTTCACCGGACCCATGAAGTCCAGTCCATTGCCCTTGTAACTCTCCAGTACTCTTCGCCTGCAAAACAGTCGCTTAAGGATTAGGATTTAAGGATGCTTGTGGGATACCCACTCGAAGAACTCCTTGGCTGGTGAGGTGGCAAATTCCGTGAAATTCTCACTGGTCACCTGCATACAGTTCTCCGTGTTCCATGGATTGTCGCAGGAAGTCCACGGCAACTTGGACGTGAACGAGGCGAAGAGATAGTACACGGCCCATCCAATAATGGTGTTATAGTACATGCCCATATATATATCGATCAGGCAGATCGCATAGCCAACACCTAGAAATGTGCGGGTTTACAGGTTAAAGTTGAAAAATAAATACTAACTTTAATCAGAAAACTGGTCAAAGTTTGAAAAATATAAACCTAAGATTCGTTAAGTAAATTTAACTATTTAATGCTAAACAGTTTTTATTGTATTAGTTATTCAATTAATTTTGGAACTTCTTATTTTTTTAATTCTTTATAAAATGAAATACTGTTGTAGAACTTGCATTATTATATTTATTTAATTATTGTAATTATAAGTTCTTTATTATTTTTGACCATGAACTTAATCCAATATTATCAGTTTAGATGTGTCTACTCTTTGAGAAACCCTATTATCTCCATTAATCTCCCTAATTACTCGCTTAACAAGACTGCAAGATATGCAAATCAACAGGTAGCACTTAAAAGCCATCCTAACTTGGCCTGGGAAAACCAATATATCTGATTGAAAACGGCCAGAGGAGAATCGGAAAAGCAATCGACGGAGTATTCTGCTCTATTCCCGCGTGACAATTTGCAGGTTTCATCTTTTGTACAAACCACCCTCCGTTCTTTCCGTCCGCTTACTTATGAGGCCAATAAGACACGTCACGTGATTTAGCCTCCTTTGAGTTTTCCACTCGCTTGGCTTTCCGGCTGCTTTTCATTCATTTCCAGTCGCTCGGCAAAAGGTTTGCCAAAGCAAACACTTGTTGAGCAAATGATGACTGCCACAAAGTGGTGTTTGCTCTTGGACTTTTTACGACGAGCGACGAGCTGGAGTGGGATTTGGCCTAGACAAAAAGTGACTTGGCAAAAGTTTCGAGCGGACTTAAAGCGAGCAGCAAGTGAGCAAATCCAGTGGGGCAGCCCATGGCCCATACGTTTTGTTTGCCACTTAATGGAATTATCAACTCGATATGCAAAACTTTGAATAGAGGACTTCCCCTCCAGTGGCTGGCTTTTCATCGCTGCTGTAAATCAATTTGAGGACAATTTAATTAGGGCCTTCAGCCCGGATGGAGGTCCTGATTTGGGCTTTGTGCGTTCCGCTTGAATAAGTCGTTAATTGTTGCAACAAGCTCTGGTGACTCTTATCCAATTCACTGCTTGATAATGTCGCCGGCACACACACACACAATGGTTTCCTCACTGTTCCCCCTCCGAGCCCAAAAAAAAAAAAAAAAAAAAAAAGCTGAAAACAGGAAACTTTGGTCCTTTGTGCGGCCAACAAGTGCGGGTGGTGGCCTTTGGAACCTTGGAATCTGGCTGAGACAATAATGCTCGGCCGAGCGTAAAATATCAGACATCAACAACACACGAGTTTTGTGTCTTATATGAATTTCGCCGAGCCACGCTGCGTATACTTAATTTCTCATTACAAAATGCTAGCGCTCGAGGCGAAAGGTCCTCTGCGCAAATATTGAACATTTTTTTATAGATTTCAATATGCAATCACATTTTTTTACTTTCTGCGACTAAAACTCAATATTTGTAATTCATTTAAATTGCCATTTAATCTTGCATTATATACGTAAGCCCCAGGCACTCTCATATTTATTTGTTTGTCATTTTTTAGGGCTGACATAGATGTTTTTTTATAACTTTTTCAAAAGAAGGAAGGAATATCTGTTTTTACACTCACCTTTTAGGGCCGGACAGATGCGCTTCCAAATGCTGAGGCAGCCGCATCGATGGAACTGACCCAAAGCCAGTTCCATGTAAAACAAAGGCAGACCGCCGAAGATGAGGAACAGGCAGTAGGGAACCAGGAAGGCACCGCCGCCATTCTGGTAGCAAATGTACGGAAATCGCCACACGTTTCCCAGGTCAACGGCAAAGCCAATCACGGCCAGCAGGAACTCCGCCTTTTGGCCCCACGTCTCTCGAGTTCTCTCCGTCACGGACACCACCAACATGCGCTAAAATGAGGTGAGGAATATTGTTATTTAACCCTAAACAAAAAACAATTTACAAAAGAACTGTAAAATAAAAATAAAGCATTACAAATACTACAAATAATACAAATATTTTATAAAAATCTTTATCATAATATTATAAGGGAAACCTTTTCTACAATAAAGTAAATCCTAACAATATACTTATTTTCATTGATGGTAGATATTACTTAAGTGTTTGTTAAAAACTTCGTTGCTTAGTTAAAACCATTGTCAATCCAATTGTTGATTTTGTGCCAAAAATTGTATATTCATTCACTTACTTAATTTCTTGATTTTACGAAAAATTTCCTTAACACTAGGAATAATTGCCTTAAATTTGAGTCTTTAAGAAGACATTACCTAAATCGACTACCAATGAAACCGAAGTTAAAGTCATTTTTTCAGCTTTTGTTTTCCAAATTTAAAATAATTTTTTTTTAATAAATTTTTTTTATACTTGCAGGAAAAGTAAAGGATTAGGCAATAACAATTTATTAGAATCATAAATATCAAAGAATATTAATTTTTAAATCATGGAGATATATTGTAACATTTTGTCAGCCTGGAGAACTCACTTCGTTGTTGGCCAACTTGGGGGCCAGCGGATCGGTGACCTTGGCGGGCGTTGCGTGGTCGCCGTCGTCCTCGTTGGAGTCGTCCTCGTCCTTGTTCGGCGACTCCTTGTCGTTGCTCCAGGGGGCGGGATTCGAGCGGCCCGTCGTGGCAGCGGCTCCTCCGAAATCGGTGCTCCCGCTGCGATCCATGTTGCCGTGAGGGGGGCGCTTGCCTGGAGGCGTGGCAGTGTACGCCGATCGCGGCACTAGCTTAGCCAGCCGAACTCTGAACTGAAGTCCGGGGGCCAGAAAAAGCGAAATTTGCGCTCTATTTGCGGCTCTTCACGGCAATCTACAATCCCTCCGCTTTTCCGGCCCGTTTATCGCTGTGGTCGTGAAAATTGCATTTTCCCCACTACTCTTCTCACATGCTGAACTCGCTGTATCGACTGGCCAGTAAGTGAAACGAAACGAAAGTTAAACAATCGCATTAAATGGGGCATGGCTAATGATGGTCATTTATTGGCAAGCGATTTCGAATTTCTCCCCCCAGGGGAAACATTGAAATGCACTGAGATTTGCATACCGTACAGGAGATGTTCAATAAAATAGTGAAATGTACAATTTTTAATGCCCCTGACTACAGACTCTGGTGAATTGTGAATTTCAAACAGCCGTGGTGTCCTTTAAACTGCACCACTAATGGCCAGCAAAAATCCTCTCAATGTCAATGTCGTGAAATATTGTCATTTCCGGGCGACTGTTTTCCCTTAACTACTTTAAAGGTTTCTCCTTGAATTGCAGCGTTAAATTTTAAATTGGCCACCGTGGCGTATGCGTAATGAATCTCACTTAGCTAAACGAATTCACAATGAAAACAATTGCAGCCTTGATCAGCGTCCGCAGGGGCTTCATACAAAGGAAGGGGCGTTTGTGTGAGTTTTTAATTGCCATTTAATTGTGGCCCACACGCGAAGCCAAAGATAAAGAAAGTTATTCACATGTGCCGACGGGCCACAGAAGCGTTTGATAAGTGCTAAAAATACAGGCCAGGACAACCGAATTCAAAACAATCAAAAGGCACTTAGAGATATGAAGAATTTGCACCAGATGCTTCGCAAAAGATATTTAGCAAGTATTAAAAAAGAAATTAATAAAACAAAAATTAAGACATTTATAAAAAAATACATTCACCCCTTTTTAACCTAAACGTTATTTTTCGTTTGGAATGAATAGATAATATTGTTTAAAAACGTTGATATATTTTAAAAGTTAATAACAATTGGCCTAACACGCTTTGCCCAAGAAACAAAATTACTTGTCTAGAAAGAAATTTTTTAATTGGGAAAACAAATTTTTAAACATTTCAAAATCTAAACATTTGTCTATAATTTTAAATAGACTGTTTTATTAATATACACAGTTTTTTGTATTTTAATCTAAATATCATAAATATAAAAATCTGTTTTCGTTTATTTAAAATATTTTTGTTCGACTTACTATTTTTGGATTAAACTTGAAGAACTGCGTTTCTCAGCACAAACGGCAAAAATTTAACTTTTTATTTTGCCACACATACTTTAAATTAAGCACTTTGATTATTGTCCAAGGCACTGCACAAATTTCAAATTTGTGGGACTTCCATGCGTCCAATTTGAGAGACGCGCGCCGCTCCTTTGGGCTGATGAAACTGATGAATCCTGCGGCCGGAGTCGTCCTTTTATACGTTCGCTGCGCAGGCGGGCGCTAAGAAGTCGTCGGCAGGACGAATGGCCGAGTATCCTTCGGCTTTGGTTTGGTTTCTGGTCGCAGTATCCTTCTTTGGGGGTTGGAGGCACAGGCATTCGAACAAGAAGTCGACGGACAGGTGGCAAAGTGTAACTTAAATTGCAGCAAACTGTTGCTCATCGAAGTTGATTGAACACCCGTCCCCTGCCTTCCCACAAGTGGGCGTGGCCCATTAAGAGCGCCTAGCTTGTCTTGTTAAATGGTTGCCACATTACTATACTGTCCAGCCGATTGACAAGAGCAAAATGGAATTTCACTAATTCAGTTTCGAGTTGAAAACGATAATTGCGGAAATTATATTATAGTAAAGCAAAAGCGAAGTCAAGCAAACTTGTGTGTGCAATTAAAGTAATTAGTAGTTATGTCACTTTTTTTGCTTAGCAGCAAATTATTTTTGCCACTTTACGTTTTAGTTTAGAGCGTTTTTGTTGCACAAATTGTAGGCTAATATTATTCTATTAAAAACATGTCACTGCAAAGGCATTTAAATTTAATTTATTGTGTTGCTCAAAAGTTTAATGTTTGTATTTACTTTTTATAAAATAGGATGATTGGGTTGATAGTACGTTTTTTATTTATTTATATATTTTTCCTATAGTTTCACTAATTTTTTTTACTATTTAGCAGCACCTTCACTTTTCACTTGACACTGTTTCGAGTTGTTTGTTTTCATAAAGTTCCTCTTAATTTAAACAGAAATTATTTTTATTTCCACGGAAAAACAGCTTGCAATCACAAATAACTTTAAAGATATTTATTTTCTGTTGAAATCGGTTTCAATTGGCTTTTGGGGAAGTTCACTTGTTGATATTTCCAAGTAGTTTACCCCTTGAATGGCGGCAGCTAACTGATTTTTAAGACCCGTGATGCTTCCATTTGGTCATTTGATCACTCGATTTTATTGGGAATCATTAAGAGTTTTTTTTTTGCTTTTAATTAAACTTTTCTGTATTTATTTGCTAATTATTGCAAACGGCGATTGCGAGAGCGTGGCGCGCACACTCGACGCGGATTGTCAAGTGGGTAAATCAGCGTAATTGCAAATCGCCATCGGCACTTAAAGTCGCGGATCGGGGGGTTTCGAGTCGTCATGGGTTGCACACGTTTTCTGTGGTTGAGGTAGGCGATCTGGTACTATAGTTGATGAAGAGCAATGCTGTTTTGTGCCCTTAGACTTTGTGTCTGTCAATGGATATAGAGATGTAGTTGTACCATCGAAAAAAGAGAAAAAACCCATAATAAAATTAAACCATAAAATATTTGAATGTAAAATAATAATAAACTTACTTAAAATAAACTAAAAGCATTATAATGTAATAAAAACATATTTAATTTAAAACTAAATTTCTCCATACTTAAGAATAAAAATTAAAGTTTAACTCACTTTGACATCAACACAACTCCGCTCGGATCTAAATTGGTACCGAAAATATTTAATTCAAAGTGAAAATATTATATATAAATATACCATGATTTTTCTCTGGGTGTACTATATTAACCATCCAACCACCACTGTCAGCGGATCATCGCTGAATGTGCGTTCCTGAACTATTTTGCCACAAAACTGGGTTTACATAACTGTAATGCGACATCGAATTTCCTACCCAAGCCGCAAACTACGTCATCGGCTCCACGTTTATCATTTATCATTTATCATAATAAACGGAAGGCGTGAGATCTAAATGGATTGCCATTGATCAGGTGGCCGCTCCAAGTTGCTGAGTAGTGCTCCAATAATTTATTTTAAATTGCTTTGTGATTAATGCAAGAATTCAGTACAATTAAAGTCTTTTAATGCTTTTGTTAGTTTGTAAATTGGTTTGTTTATTACATTTTTCACTTTAGGCATACACACATAGCGAAATCTTGTAGTTCAAGTTCATCTATAACAAACGAAGAATTTTAAAGCTATGTTTTTTCTATGAACAAGATTGTATTGATAGATTGTTTATTTAAGTTATACAAGAGATTTGAACTCATGCCGAACACTTTGTAAATCCACTTTTTTTCTACCCTATTTTATTTCTTGAATCGTTTTCCTTATTGCAGAAATGAATATAAATATTGATAAATTAAATTAAATCAGAGGTCAGATCAGCATAATGAGCTATTTCCAAGCGAGGTCCTGGATTCCATTTTGTTTAAATAAGTTATTGCCTAAATTAAAATTATTCAATAATATCCTCATAATGTTGGAAATTTGGCAAGCGTTTTGAGTATCCAGGGCATAAAGGCGGGCAGATCTGTGTAGTAGGCCTTCTGACCATTACCACAGGGTCCTTTTCCATGACTGGCCAGTCCGAATATCAAATGGCGGGTGGATCCAAAGTATCTCCCCAGCCAAATCAGTGGACCTCCCGAGTTTTCCCGGCATTCAGTGTTTTCGGTGGTACAGAGAAACGACTCATGTGTGTCCACAGAGCACTGCACCGTATTCACATGTTCCTCAACTAGAGTTTCTTTAGGGATTTTCCCGGTTTGCATCCATTTGAGAGCGGTGTAGGATTGTCCCATAAATGAGGTAATCGCTTGGAGATCGGGGGTTAAGGGCAGGCAAATGGGTCGTATGTGATCTGTGCATTAAAAAGTAAAAGTAATATGTACAAATTTATTTTAAATTTCATTAAACATATCATCCATCATATCCCAAAGTAGCGTTTTAACTTAAATTCTTATTTAGCTTAGCATTACCAACCTTTAAAGACCACCTTTCGGTCCAATCTCAGCAGAGCAATGTCATTTCCAAATTGGTAATATACAAAATTATCGTAAAAAACACTTTCGTTTATAGAAAAATGTTTCACTGGTGGTGCACAAATAGTTTGCTTGCAGTATTTCGAAGCCGTAGGACTGTGCTCTCCCAATCGAACTTTAAATCTGTTTAGAAATATAACAATCGATAATTCAATATAATTTTCATTTACTTACTCGCTGGATGAAGGACAAAAAGCAAGACAGTGGGCAGAAGTTAAAACAAAACCTGAATGAAATAATAAACAAATAATTAAGTAATAAACTCCAGAGCTTAATCTTAATCTTAAATTTAAACTTACTTTCCGAAATAAGTGTGCCTCCACAGCGACAATTTTGTATATTTTTTTCATCATAGATATAAGCCATCCAAGGTTGGGACATCACAAAATCCTTCCCACCATTTACTCCTTGTTTTTGTATTCCGCAATCCTGCTTTTTCAGCTGATCGTAAACTCTGTATTCTTCTGGGGTCAAAAATTGCGAATCGCTATGAGCTGAGGGAAATACGCAAAATGTTAGCCACAAAAGGGCAAAAACTTTGAGCAAACTGTTCATGGTCCAAGCTTATATCAGACTGAGTACTGGTATGCGGTTGAGGAACATTTGGGTTCCACGCTTATCGCTCAATTGAAACATAGGCGAGTATTCATAAACAAAAATGTCAATATATTTTACAGATTAGCAAAGCCAATTCAGGGAAAACCATATGAGACCGCAATCAAGAAGATAACTTCCTTACAAAAAATATGTTTAAAAAGCCGGCAAAATGTAAATAATTTTTAATCCACAAATTCAAACCCAACCCAAAAACGTTTCTAAAATAATTGGAAAATTAATAAAAATATTACTAATTTCTTTGCGAAATTTTAACAAATATGTAATTATATCATTAAACACAAATAGAATAAAAGTTCACTAAAGTAGTAATTCAAGTTAATAGTCAGTCCTAATGATGGGCTTAAAGTAGATTATGAGTTGAAAACTCGACTTTGCTTAGCATAAAAAATTACCTTAAATTGTGAAATTGGTTTCACTGAAATTCGAACCTACAGTGATTCCAAAATTTTACCGCCAAAATGTTTAATGCTTCTCCAACTGTTTAGAACAGCTATGGCCACATTAAAAACTACTTTCAGCAAGCAGTGGTCATTCAGTATATTTTCTTAGCAAGCAGTGTCCCAATGCCAATCACATCGATATATGAGAATTAATGTATCAGTGTTGAAAAGCGTCGCAAATGATTTTATTCATAATTTCGCTGTGACCCAAGATGCCATTCACACAAAATACAACCAGCAAACCGTTGTGATTTTTTGATTTGCCGGACGGTATAAATTTTCAATAGCTCTGGTCACACTGTTTCCTGCGAACCGTTGTGATTGTTGTTGATTTCTTATATTTATTATTGTTACTAAAAAAACTACAAGTTTTGGTAGTTAAAAGAAGCTAATTAATGAGAAATGCGCCTGACGAAGCTCTGGCAGAATCGCTCGCCCGGCGACCGGCACTTGAGCACCTACTTCTGCTTTGCGGCAGTGCGCTTGCTGCTCGTTTTTGTGCCCCAACTGGGCTATGTGCATCCGGATGAGTTCTTCCAAAGCGTCGAGGTGATGACAGGTGAGTATTATACTAAATACCCTATAAAGTTAACTACAACTACCTTCTTTTCAGGCGATCACTTTCGGCTGGAACACACCCGCAGCTGGGAGTTCAACAACTCGCTGCCCGTGAGGTCAATAGTTCTGCCCTTCGCGCTGCTGCGAATTCCCTGGAGTTTCTACGAATTCATTGCCGAATGCCTGAGAGCCGGATGGCAATTGGAGCTGCTGGGAACGTACACCTATGTGGTCTTTCCCCGCCTGATTTACACCCTGATTTCCTACTCCAACGACTATTGTTTGTACCGCATTTGCCGGCTGTATGGTCTTCGCTTCGAAATCCGCCTTTTGGCCATGGGCAGCTCCTGGATTCTGCTGGTCTTCGGCACACGCACCTTCTCCAACAGCCTGGAAATGGCCATGTGCTCGTGGCTGCTCTGCCTGGTCTCCGAGTGCATGCTGCGCACCAATACGGTGGTCTACAAGAAGGAGTTTCTCGAGGAGAAGTACGACAAGGCGGAGTCCATTAGCGAGCGAGTGCGGATCTGGAAGCTGAAGAACTCGCTGCCGGCGCACAATCTGCAGCACCTGATGACCATGTCCACGATCTGTGTGGCTGGGGTTTTCAATCGACCCACATTCCTGCTCTTTGGAGCGCCCATGGTCTTCTTTTGGCTGCTGCGAGGAATGGGCACAAGGAGCGTTACCTTCCGGGACTTTAATCTGCGAATTGTGCTCTTCTGTTTGTGCGCACTGCCCGCTTTGGCGGTCTTCATCTTCTGCGACTCCTTGTACTACCAGCACTTGACCCTGGGAGAACTGCACATGATGCAGCTGAGCATCGATAACTTTGTCTTCACGCCGTGGAACTTCATCAAGGCGAATCTGGACTCGGCGCAGACAGCCAGCCATGGCGTGCATCCCTGCTATGTCCACCTAATGGTCAACATGCCCATGCTCTTTAACGTTCTGGCACTGGCTTCGTTGGGAGCCTTTGCCCAGCTGCTGCTTAGGTTCTTCCGGGCGGAGTACCAAGTGCTGCCGCGCTTCCAGAGCATCGTGTCCCTGATGTCGGGGGCCATCTTCGTGCCGCTTTTCTTTCTCTCGCTGATTAACCACCAGGAGCCGCGTTTCCTGCTGCCCGTGACGTTTCCCCTCCTGCTGCTACATGCCCCCAAGCTGATCACGGGATTCAGTGCCAAGTATCCCTTCCAGAAGGATCACCCGCTGCTGCGACGCTTCTACGACAGGCTGCTTTCCAGCAAAGCCTCGGGACCCTATCTGCTGAAGATCTGGTACGTGAGCAACGTGGCGTTGACCCTCTTCTTTGGCTTCATCCATCAGGCGGGAGTTTATCCCCTGGCGGCGGAAATCTCACATGTGGTGGCCACCAAGCCGGCTGCCACGCACGTTCACCTGATCACATCGCACATCTACAGTTTGCCCCTGCATCTGATCAACATTCCCAGCTCGAGGGTGCTGCACTTTAATAGACAGACGCATCAGCGATATCGTCGTCCGCGGGATTTCTATATGTACGAGTACGGAGGACTTTCCTTGGACCTGCTGCTGCAGAAGGTGAAGCTTATTAGTGGCAACTGCGAGGTGAAGCAGTCGGGAGCCAGTCGCCTGCGCTACAAGCTCTACTTGGCCATTCCGGCATCGCTGAGCGCAGATCTTCACGAGGCACTGGTGCACTCGAATGCCAGCAGCTACCTCAACTTCGAGCTGATCAACGTCTTCTATCCACATCTCTCCACGGAGGCGTTGCCCCGCCTGCAGGGCAGGCATCCCTGTGATGTGGATGCCCCCCACTGGGCCCACGACGATCTGCGGGGCACCTGTGCCCTGGAGCAGCCGCCAGCACTCAGCTTTGCCTACCTGAACAAGCAATTCAGCTCCTTCGTCCATCAACTGGGACTGGCGCTCTACGAGATCGATGTCAAGCGCAAAAAGCCGCTTTCTGTGCTACTTAAACAGAAACCATTTTTGACGGAAAGACCAGCGTAATGCTCGCTATTTCTTTTATTCAAAGTGCCTTGAACCAAAGTTGTAGGCTAAGATTTATTACTTTTTATTGTAACTCAAGTCTGGTAGAGCACAACTTCCGTAAACATCTAACTATTTATTGTAAAGCTTGACTTCTGTAAACATTCCTGCTTGGTGCACAACAAACTTCAATTTTATAAATATGTCTAGTCATTACCAAATAACTACTTAATCTTAAACTATCTGTTAAGTTTTCACAAGTACTCGAGTTGAATAATTAGGACAATAATGCCGAGTGAGCAAGGAAAAAGGGAATCCTACTCGAGAGGTAATTCAGAACTCTGCCACAAATTCACTTAACATTCTCAAACAATCAGTAATCAGAATCGCAATTCCCGTCTATTTCAGTTGTCGAATGCTCAATGGTGCAAAAGAGTAATCCATTTGACACGCCGCTGGCTGTTAATTCCCCACAAACATCTGAGGGCGTGAAAGCGCGGCATCCGCGTTCATTGAACGTTCGACCAGGCGCAAATCTCGTTGTGTTCTGATTTAGATTTTTGTGTTTGGGCTGCCTAAGCCGGAAACCCGTTTTTGGCAATGCGGCGACAATTGGCCTATAAAATGCTGGAGAACATTGGCCAAAAGCATCAGTCACTGACAAACCAACCAACCCAAACAACCAAATCAACATGAAGGTAAGAATCAGTTGGTCACTCTGCATGTTCAGCCATTAAAGGATTCGATTTTACCTTCCTTTAGTTCCTCGTCTGCTTGGCCCTCTGCATCGCCGCCGCCCAGGCTGGCTACATTGCCCCCCCCGGTGGCCACCTATGCCGCCACCTATGCCGCTCCTGCTCCTGTGGCCTACAGTGCTCCCGTGACCACCTACGCTGCCGCCGCTGCTCCAGCTTACTCCACCTATGCCGCCGCTGCTCCTGCTTTCTCCACTTATGCTGCTGCCGCTCCAGCTTACTCCACCTATGCCGCCGCTGCTCCCGCCTACACCGCCTCGGTGTACAGTGCTCCGGCCTACACCGCTCCCGTGGCCACCTATGCCGCTCCCATCACCACCTACTCGGCTCCAGCCATCGTCAGCCCCTTCCTGAAGAAGAAGTAAACGTGGGGGACCCACTCATTGACACACTCACACGATTCGATACTCTAAATAAACCGACAATTTAAAAAAAAACGTATTTAAAAGTCTTATAAGTGTGATTTTTTAAACAGATAAATGATAATAGCTATGGCACAGATTAAGAACTTCACATCAGCAAAGATGACTGTTGAGTTTAAGCAAACAGTGTGACTTGTTTGAACGCATTGTTAGTTTGCATATGTAAACAGAAAAATACATACTAAGGCTATCACACAGAAGCTTTAATCTATACTTTAGAATTAGGAAAGAATTTAAATGAAACATAAAAACTATCCATTGAAAATTAGCTTGACATTTTACCTAGTTACCTGCTTAAGAAACAAAATGTGGTACTTTTTACCTTACATAAGTACCTTTTAACTTTCCTAGGCATTGATTTATAAAACTTACAATAAATCCTCTTGTTTTAGACGCTCCTTAATATGGTAGAGATGCACTTTTGCTGCACCCTGAAGATACTCTTAACTCTTAACTAATATATATATTATTATAATAGATTTAAGCAATGAATCAAACGTATTTAATATATATTTTATTCTATTCGGGACGACTTAATCGCCCAAATATAAATATTTTCTTGCCCTCTACGACGGCAAACAGAAAAGGTCGGTTGCAAGTGACCAATAATCCAGCACTTCTTGATCGACCGGCTAGTATTTCATCATCTGAAAAAAGATTTAAAAGTTCCAGGGAAGCCCTGTACGAAACACAAAGTGAATAGTAAACCTGCAGCTGCTGCCCACTTGGATCCTTTTTCATCCACTTCAAGGACGGCCGAGTGCTGAATGCTGTCGATCTTAAGTTTATCCTTTGACTTGGTCAGATCTGAGAGATTGGCGTTGTTGAATATGCTCTTTACACCCAGATCAATTAGTGGCTGGGCCAGATCTTGGTCGTATTTGATCTTGAACTTGGGCAGGGAAATTTGGAGTTCCTTCAAACTCAAAGCATCCAAGTTGAGGGACTTCAGATTGTCCTCAACCTTCCGGATTCCCCGGAAAGTCTTGGGCACTATCAGGGCCATGGATAGACTTGAGTTGGCAAAGGGAATTACGGCCACGTGAGCGTCGAGTTCGTCTTGAAAGTTGTAATAGAAAGTGCCCACATGATCCAGCATTTTCACGGCCACCGAGCGCCTCTCATCCGGCAGGTAAAAGTTGCCTGTGGAAACTTTCTTAATGGGATACTTCCATCTGGCTTGGAAAATGACCACATTTACGAGAATCACTTTCGTCGCATCGTCCAGCAGTGAAGAGTCTATGAGATCCACGACCCTGCCCTTTGTTTTACCAGATACCCAGCTGTTGATCGTGTGCGCTCCCTGAAAACTGAGGTCCACGTTCCCGGCCTCCACATGGAGATACTTCCTCGACATTTGTTGATAGTTTGGCAGGATGGGTATTCCACTGGCCACATACATGCGACTGGATATTATGATTTCAGGACTTCTCCGCTGTAGGGCCGCCAAGACCTCTGCCTTTGTGCTGCCAGGATAGCCCAAGACGTCCTTCAGCTCGGCTTCGGTTTCTCCAGCGGCTCCCAGGTAGATTTGGGCCAAGGCCACGTCGATTGCCGTGGGACTGATGATTATATTGGTGTCGGATAGCTCTAAAATGATCTTCGAAGCGAGCTCAAGGGTGGTGAACTTTTTCGGACTGACTTCATTGGCAATGAAATATAAGAGACACAAGACACTCCACACGATCTTCGGCATTGTTGAATAGTTACTAATCGAACAGAAGGTAACATAACCCTTTAACTCAAATGTATTCGCTACAGATTATTTATTTATTTACGCTTGTCAAGTGGCCAGAACACACTGGATCGACACTATGGCTACAGTTGACTTAAACCTAGGGAGTGCTAAACGCGAAATACAAAACAAAGTGCCATATTCGTGATGGTTTCGATAGTTTCGATGGGTTCAATGCAGATTGTGGTTCAAGTACATGGGACTGTTCGGCGCGTCGACATCCTCGAACTCAAAGTCCTCGGTTTCGTCCTTGTTCCAGCGCACCGTGCGATCACTACTGATTTCGTTATTAGTGCGGATTTTCGGTGGCCGTGCGGGGAGAGAAAGCAAGTTCAGAATATATAGACTTTGTCGCTGTGAACACAATAAGAATTTGTGTGTGTTTTGGTTGGTACTCTCTTGTCTCTGGCATGTGCTCAAGATTCGATCAAATCAATCAAAAAACCAAATCAAAACCAAATCAAAAAACAAACTCATTGGCAACAGAATACGGTTAATAACGTTGGTAGAACCTGTTCAAGCCGGCCGCTGGCGGAGGAGGGGGCGGAGGAGCGCCCCTGGGCGGCGTGCGTCGGGCGCTGAAAAAAAAAGATCACGGAGATCATTGTTATTGGGTGAGTTTTCAATTGCCACATTATCCGAGGTGTCACAGAAATCTCAGGTGAGCTTAAGGTCGTTTGGCTTGGCTAGACTCTTGAAAAGTTGGTGGTTTTATGGCTCCGCTCATTTCATTATTCAAATCTTTGCTGACGAATCAATTTCGACATGGTCACGTTACAGTTCCATTTATGGCTTGTTAAGGTCAAAAAAAAAACCCCTTAGGCAAGCCCCTTTTAGAATAATCTTATGTTAAGCCCTTAAAGATCATCAATATCCAATTGACCATCATATTTAAAAATCAATCTTTATTGCTTGTGTACTAAGGGTATAATAAGGGTATATTTTCTGGTAACTTTTTAAAGGCAATTGCATTCATTTACAAATTAAGGAAATTTGCATATAACATTTCACAAAAAATGACTTCCCATTCAGTTCACCTTTTGTAGTTTAATCGATTTAAAGAAGTTCACTTAGTACTCTTAACGATAGCAATAGTTATGTGTCTCCATCTATTTTCAAGCTCATATCAATAACTATGGACTAAATATCGAAAACTATCTTAAGACCTGAGATTTCGGTGACACTTTTCATAGAATTTAAACTTACGCCGCAACGTCCGCATCCAAATGGCCTCCAGCACCGTAGGCATCGCTTTCATCCAAGTCGAATTCATCGGTGCCGGTGCGTTGGCTATGGAGTATATATACACTTCATTTAGTTTTAAACACAAAGTTTTTACCTCAGAGAAGAATTGCTGAAATTGCTAATGGGTGTGGGTGTTTCGGTTGTGGAGGTGCAGTGATCGTCAAACTGGCTATGGGTATGTTTTTCTTTTCAGGGTTCCGGGACTGAGACACTCACAGGCGCTGATTCCGCTTGTTGACAATGTCCTGGACGGCTCGGGCGGTCAGCGAGACCTTGCTCTTGAGACGCATCGGCGTCCTGGGCATCGGAATGGCGGCCGGAATGTCCGGGTTCACGCTGAGCACGGGTGTAATGGGGCGCCGGACCGTTTCACTGCTAGCTCTATCCGCATTGGTACTACGTCTGGCATGCACAAAGGGGGGGCAGAGAGAGTGAGTGGGGGAGCGGACTGGAGCGGTGCAGGGTCACCGCGGGGTCACTTACAACTTGGGCTTAGTACGGAGATTGGAGCGCTGGCTGCGCGGATCGGGTCGTTGCTCTGGACTGACACTGGACTGGTTATGGGAATGGTTCTGAATCTGTATCAGATTTTGATTTAAACTCTGGCTCTGGCTCTGGCTCTGCCACCCTCTCTCCTCTTGGCCATCATCAAAGTCGAACTCCTCAGTGCCTTGCCGTCGACTTTTGTGTGTGGAGGGTAAGAAATATCAGAAATGGCGGGTACCTAAGGTTAGCTAAAAGGGCTCCTCGACTTACAGTGGCGTCTTGATCTTATTTCGTGACTGCCAAATGTTCAGAATCTTTCTAGACTGACTGGACTCGCGATCTCGCTCATGGGAGTTGGCCCTACTGGGTCCGCTGGATGAGCCCCAATTGTCATCTTCGGGATCGTGGCGCCTGATGCAAATGCAAATGCCATATGATTGAATATGAGTTCGAGATGAGGTGGCTCAATAGGGGATTGTTACTCACAGCTGCTGGCGACTGCGGCTGCGCACCGGCGTATTTATGGCGGAAATGTCACGGCCCCGGCTCACTTCCCGCTCCCGACTCCTCTGATCCCGCTCCCGAACCCGCTCCCTGTCCATTTCCCGCTGGCTCTGCTCCTGACGACGCTGTGGCTGTTGCTGTTGCTGCTGTTGCCTCGATGGGGTGGAGTCCTCGTCGGCCAGGTCCAGCGTTTCTTCAGTGGCAGTGCGTCTTCTGTGAAGGGTACTAGGTATTAGAAATGTACATTTGGAAAACAATGCCTAATAAAAAGATGGTGGACACAAGCCGGAAACTGATCTTTACTTGGCTAAATAGTGATATATGTTATCTATGATTGTAACGTCTTCCCTCGCTCTCCAAAAACTAACTATAGATGCAGATTAATCCGCCAACATATGACAAACTTATGACAAATAGACAAATAGAAAGCAATTTGAGAACGACATTTCTTAAGAAGATTTCTAATAGGACACCCCCACACAAAAGAGTACACTTCTTTGAAATCCGTTTTTAACTTTCCCACAAAATAAATTGTGGGTCGCCATTTAGATGAGCTATTAATTCTCAATTAGTTTCTTAATCAGTTTCTCAATCCCTCTTTTCAAGCAAATAAATAAATTGTGATAAACAGATATCAACAAATGGGAATATTTTTTTAAGGGGCTTAAAATAAGTGGCGCCCAACGTGAACTCACAGTGGTGGCTTTGGTCTCGTCGCGCTGCTAGTGCTGCGTTCCCGGCTCTGCTCCCTCGTGCCGCTCCGCCCGCTGGCCCCCGCACTGCTCGTCCGCTGCTTCTTTCGTCCGCGACTTTCGCTCCGCTGCTCCTGATCCGGACTCCGATCGCTCCTCCTCCGCGAATGAGCGGCCTGCATCACATTCAGACGCGTTTGGACAGTGATCAGATTTAGGCCAACTGGAGTGCCAATTGCCCAGAGGAGCAGCGTGAGGAAGATGAAGAAGGTCAGGCCGTTGATGAAGTCCACCATGTTGCGACAGATGAAGGTGCGACTGGCATCGAAGGTGTCGTAGAAGGGTCGGCACTTGGTGGTGGTGTCGCCCAGTTGGGACTCCATGGTGGCGCGACTCGTGGTCAAATATGCCTTCAGCCTGTAGTAAAAATATTTAGCATTTATATCTTAAAAATCAGTATATATTACCCATACGTATTTTATTTTAATCTCTAGAGATTTTAAAAACAACGTTGTCCACCTTTTCAATACGTACATTTACTAAGACAACAAATTCAACAATGGAATGACAACTCGACTATTCATTGCCCGTATCGTTTAAATAGCACTTGAGTTTATAAGTGGATGAAACAATTCCAAACAGAATACAAATTGCACAAGCAATTCCTTAAGGTTAAAGCAACAAAGGACTTTCGGGCATTCTCAAATCCTGGCAGCAAAATATTTGGAATTCCTAGCCGAACATCACCTCTCATAATGTCTGTGTGGCAACATAGGAGTGCACTTGGAAAAACACTAAAAATGCAATCATGACACTTGGCAAACTTAATCAAACGATTAGGACTTTCAATTATCTGATAAAGACGAAAACTATGTGCAGCTCACCCGAGTGCACTACTACAATTGTTTGAGTTGTTTGTTTCTCTGCTTGTTTGGGCAAAGAGCAACACAATAAAAAAGTCAAACACGCAGTCAGACCGAGAATTCAGTTGCAAGTGCCACAGGCGGAAAAGTGGCCAAATGGCAACAAAATTCCAGAGTGTGGGGCCTTGACTTTCGTGCGAAGATTACTGGGCCTGTGCTGCAAATACTCTGCTGAACTATATTCAGATGGTTAGAACTTTGATTGTGCATTTAACTTTGAGTATTGGGCTTAACATTAAAAGCTTGAATCAGTTTAAAATTTATGAATTTTCACATCAGAATATAAAGCATTGAAACAAGAAAAAATTAAGCAATTATGAATATATACAAGCTATCATAGAGCTTTTATGTTCCTTAATTTTATGATGGGCTTATTGAAATCCTAATATATGTGTAAAATTATAAATTTTCTCAAAAAAATCGTTCTTGCAGATTAATTAATTTCTAGATTTTCCGTTGATTATGTCTTTATTTTAATTTTCTTTTTGAACTTTATTATGGATGTAAAAGATATTAGACATTTAAGTGTAAAAGCAAAATAATAGTATACATTGGTCTACCTTGTTCTACTGAATATAACAAAAGCGAAATATATATAAATCAAACCCCTTAAATTAAAACGTTTCTAATGTAATATATTTTTGGAGGCCTCCCAACGATTTCTTATGAACCAAAAAGTTGGTCTACCATATTGTACTGAGCATAACTATTCATATCTCACCGATCTGTGTACGCTCGCGTCATATTGTGGCATATCTCGCCGGCCTTGTTCTCCAGGTAGCTCTGGATGCTCTTCAGGTGGTTGAGCGTCTGGTTGACCTGCTTGGCCCACGGATCCCGCTGCAGTTCGAGGGCGGTCAGGTGGTACAGTATCTCGTTCTGGAGGTTCTCCAGCGGCTGGAGAATGGAGGCCTGCAGCCGTTTGGAGCGGCTGCCCAGAGTGGTCATGCGCGAGGACGTGGCCACATCCTGAATCTGGCGACACAAATCGGATGATTGAATTGAATTACGGCATTATGCAGTGCACGTACAGTCACCCAGCCCCCTTTTAATTGAAACTAATCAGGGGGTGGATATAAGTGCACCAGGTGTAGCAGGTGCACCAGGGGCAGCAGGTGCACACTCACCTGCAAGGCCACCCGCTGCATCTGATCAATGAACGTGGCCAAATCCTTTTCGGGCGTGGGCGCACCCACACTGCTGCGGTACGTGGTCAAATTGAACGAGGACGTCTGCAGCATGTTCTCCAAAATGTTCTGGACGGATTGCGTGAGCGAGAGGAGCGTTCGCCCGGACACGGATATCGCATCGATGGCCGTGGACACTTTGGGGAACTGCCTCAGGTCGGCTATTTTGCTGGTATTCACGAATGCATCCAATTGAAAGACATTGTACGATGCTTGATTTTGCTCGCAGCCTCTGTGTGTAGGTGTGTGTGTGTGTTTGTTGTGTTTGTTAAGTTGAGTTTGTGGAAAAGTTGTCAAAGAAACGTCAAAAGAGTGCACCCATAAAATATCAACGGGATGGTGAGCAGTGGGTGGTGGTGGCGGTTCGTCCTTGCAAATTGGGCAATTTAAGCTCCCTACGCTATCTGCACATTTCTACCCGCCTGCATGTGCATTTTGTAGCTTGCCGGATAATTGGAATCGTGCTTAAAATTTGCGGTTACAAGTGGGTGGCAGTGGGCGGTCGGGTGGGTGCTTTTTTTGAGTGGGTGGTGCGTGTGGCTAGTTGAATTGGCATTGCTTCGGTCCCTGCAAAATTGAGTGCCATGTGGCTAGCACATTTCACTGGGCTTTCAAAACTTTGCGGCTTAGGGCCGACTGCTGTTGCTCGGCTTGTTCTGGTCCACATCCTTGAGTTGCAAAATGGGATGGATGGTCCTTCGAAGCCGAACAACTTGCCAAGTCGAGGGAGAGAGTGCATTGCGGCTGGGCAAGTTTCCAAAGTTGTGGCCGGAACAGGAAAAGTTCGGTAGTGGCAACAATAATCACAGAAATGGGTAATCACAGTCGAATCGATTAAGGGGGATACGATTGGCTTATAAGGAGATTCTGGGAAGGGGAGCCAAGTAAAAGGGGGCATCCCCAAATGGGGGAATCAAAAATTCATATTGCTAAGGGGAAACCTATGTTTGGTTTTTTCTTAAATATCAAGTTTAAATATCATTTTTCTGTGTGCAAATTCGGATTAATTTCCCTTCAAACTGCACATCGATTAAACCATTAAACTGGTGTACATTTCGATTTTGCTACGGCATACACTCGGTCTGTTTGGGTGGGCAATCAAAATTACAGGCACGTACAGTATCAAAGTAATTGGATAACAAAATTCGTTACTTCAACGCTGGCATTTTTGGGCTTTTGGCTACCTGGGAACTCTGGATACACATGTGCGGCATTGGTTAGTGGACAGGGACTCACCTGAGGGCCTGGCCGAGACCCACATTGACCACCGACCGATTGACTCCGGCGGGACGCAGTAGCTCCCCGATGATGCCGTTCTGTGGCTCCTGGGCGTATGCGTAACCCGGCTTATCCAGCAGCTTGCCCAGCATACTGTAATCCTCATCATATAGAGATCGGCAGACGAAGACTTCGGCATTGCCGCCCACGGCCAGGGAAAATACCCCATAGAAGGTGAGACAAATGCTGGCCAGACAGATCAGCATTACGGCGATGAAGAAGACCACACCGGACTTGGCATTCGATTCGCAGAGGAAACAGCAGTAGGACATCAGCATGAAGAGCATCACCCAGACAATAACCGTGCCGGCGATCCAACCCACACTCCAGTAGGCATCCGCCCACTCCTTCAGCTGGCTGTAGGCGGGCTGCAGCGAGGACCAGGTGCCCTCCAGTCGTCGGAGCAGTCCGTTCACCGTCGAGGTCAGCTGCTGGGCGTTGGCTGTCGTCCGGTGCCGAATACTGGCCAACTGTTCCAACGTATCTGTCGATAAGTTAGAGTCAATTCAATTAGCATCCACAGACCATAACCCAATGACACTAATTAATATTGGGAGCCAAACTTGAGCAAGTTATGTGGCTACACAGAAAATATAAAACATATAAACAATATAAACCATATAAAAAATAAATATAAATATAAATAAGAATAATAATAAATATAATAGGAGGAAAAAAATGTTATAAAAGAGATGAACGAATGTTCTTTTGAGATTATAAATTCTTTTTTGTAATCATGTTATATTGTTGTTTTAGTTATATAGTTTTAATATCTTAATGGCGTGTTTATTTTTTTGAAACAATATGATTTATCTATTTATATATTAATTTATTTAAATTGACATGAAATCAATTGATTTTTCTGTGTATATATAATATACAATAATAATCGTGTCATTTTGTTGTTCAAGTAACAAAGTTTTAATATTTTAATGGCGGGTTTATTTTCTCAAACAATTAGATTTATTTATTTATTTATTAATTTATTTAGATTGACATGAAGTCAATTGTTGTTTCTGTGTATTTATCTGTATGTTTCGGAAATTGCATTGCCAGATTCATGGGTTCTTTGCAGATGGTAGATATGAACTGAATGGGAAGCCTGACACCTGTAACATTGATTGAATTGAACACTTAGTCAGTTGCCATAATTGAGTTTTGTGTTCGGGGGGTACGACAATATGGATTTTGATAAAGGACAGCCGATTAACTTCGGCCTGGTTGGCAGCTAAACTTAAATATCACCACCCACTTCCTTTTAATTTGATTGCTCTACTCACAGTTCCGCTCATATGCCGTGTCATGTTTAACTTGTTGCGGGAAATTGCTGAAAATGGAACGTGACACGCCAACTTCCGATGTCAGATTTTTGACAGTGGCACCGAATTCAATTTCGCCCAAGTAGCGCATACGGAAGATGCTCTGGTCCTCTTGCAGCTGACAAATTGTCAGCGATGTCGTCGTTCCGTTGTCCAGGAAATAAGATATTGCGGGTGAAATTAGAAAAACAGTGTAGTCCGAAGGGGGAAAAAGGGGTGCGGCAGAGAAGGAAGTCAGAGCACAAATTATTTATACGTTGAACTAGAAACGTAGGTTAGATTCGGCAAGCCGAAACTGGGAATACCCTTGCAGAACTCTTCTATCAATATAAGCTTACTCTGTGGTAGGGTAATATTATAACTTATCGCAATATTTTATATTTTCCTCATAAAAAGAAAAGGTTGAGCATGCAGTTGAATTCCAAAATTAATAAACTATTCAAATAAAATGTATAAAGTGTTAAGACTCGATAACAGTTTATTTTAGTATACGCCAACTGTCTTTATCATTTTAAAATCTATCTATCATTTTTATGAAGTTAAATAACAATATATAAAATGTAACAAATATAATACCCAAAAATTAAATCACCTGCATCAAACCTTTTTAGATGTAAGAACGGACTAAAATTATTTTAGAATAAAGAAACAATTTTGAATTGCTAAGAAAATGTTATGTAAATGTAAATACAAAAAAAAATGCATAATACAAATAATTAAATAATATTTTTTATATTTTAATTAAAAAGGATAATGATGGTAAACGTCGTAAATAAAAAATTAAAATAAATAAATAAACAAAAATGTTTGTTTGGCCTGTCTGCATTTTATATAGATGTAGCACTTACTCAGATACTAAGTTAAAAATCTTTAAAAAAAATAAGGCAATGTTTTAAAAATTTCTATTAGAGCGGCATTTAAATAAAATTAAATTTTTAAATCTTTAAACAAAGTCTCTAATAATTTGTAAGCAAAAGCCTTCAAGGGCAGCAATGGCCATGTCTATCCCAATGACCATAAAAGATTTATTATAGGTTTTGCGACTTCTGATCAAATGTATCCCACCGCCGGCAAGGGTATCATCGTAAAAAGCGATATATAATCGAGCGGCGTAGCCCGACAATGAACTCACAGTTTTCAGGGCGTCGACGACGCCGTTCTCCTCAAAGCTGCGTATACGCAACGTGTCGCAGAGCGGGCGGTCGCGGTACGTGCACTGGCGCTGCAGCACGGACAGCTGGATCTGCAGCTCCTCCATCCTGGCGGACGCCTCCTGGGACAGCTTCAGTGCCCTGCCCACCGTCTCCTGCAGCATGAGCACGCGGTAGATGAGCTCCGCGTTCGCTGACAGCGACAAATGCACGAAAATATTATTATTTGCAGCGTTATTGTAGCGTGTTTTATTTGGGGAGAGGGTGGAGGTAGTCAAGGATTCATGGAGTCGTCACAGGAGCATGATTTCAAATTACACATTGTGTTCGATGGCGAACATAATGGAGTTGTCATCTTGGCAATTGTGTAGAAAGACTTTCGCCGCATCCGGCTGCCTCCGTTTGCATTCCCCTAATGAAATTGGGCGCAAACAATTGCTTTTGGCTGAAAACCACTGCCAACATATTTGCCAATGGCCTGCGTCTTGGGATTTGGGCCTTGATTTTTTGATTTTTCAGATTGTTTGGACTTGAGTGGAGACTTAAGCTGGAGTAATTCAGCTTGAAGTGGATTTTAAGACTTCACTTCTTAGTACATTTATGATAAAAAAATTATTATTATGTATATAATTTTGTAGGTGCAGTGTATTTACAATTTTCTCATGTCTTAGACCACAACAATATTTAATATTTTATAAATAACATCTCAAGAATATTGTCCTAAATTTTCGAGTTGATCCGAGTGATAGTTTTGGATATCTCTTATTATATATTTTATGTCCGTGTTGTATTTTTTTATTAAATAAGCCCATAAATGTTCTATCAATTGTTTGCATACCGACTAATGCATCTCAAAACTGGAAACTGCAAACAATGGTAATCGAAGTAGAAGTAAAACTAAGTGAGAAAAAGCGCAAAATTTAAAGCCCCACCCAAAGGTTACACCCTTTTGGGGCCCGTAATTTATTGAGGTTGGTGGTTTATTGTCATGTTTGGCCAATAGCGGGTGGGCCAGGCCTACTGACCATGCTGGCCGGGCTATGAACATGGAACAATGGAATTTGGGTCAAGTCCGTAACCAGACAATCGCATGCCCATCGCATGGGGAGCACTTAACCATCCGTACTCACCCAGGCTAAGTGTCGTCAGTGAATCATAGGCCAGCTCAAGGCCAGTGTGTGCGGATATTTCCGCTTGAATCGGCTCGCCAAGGAGAACATCCACGTCTGCAAAGGAAAGGCACACACAAACGCATGTAGTATATATAGAATTCATGCATTTACATCATAGCAGCAGTGCGGTAAAAGTTGTGCATTATGGTCGTGCATGGATCGAAGGCTATAAAGCTATAGAGCTATAAAATGGGCGGGAGTTCGAGTACTTGGCGTCACAAAGTTGGCAAGGCGATTGGGAAACTTTTGCCGACCGACTGAATGACTGTCTGACTGACCTTCCAGATCCTTGACGACCCGCTCCACGGAAACGTGAAAGCCATTATCCAGTTTGTGTTTGATTTGCAGATGCGTGTCCTTCAGGAAGACCTCCACGTCGTGCACCGCTGACTTGACCATCTCGGGCGTCATCTCGATGCCGGCGGACAGGCGACTGTTGGCGTAGAATATGCTGAAGTCGCTCAGTCTGTGAAATCAGTTACTCATCATTACTCTCCTCCACAAAAAGTTAAAGTTCTTTAGATTGCAACGCACGTTAGCAGAATGAAAACAATCCACAGAGTGACCAGTCCGGCGCTCTTGCGACACCGCAAACTCTCCTCCAGCGATTCGTCGCGAATGTGGCAGGGGGCATGCCGTATGTGGTCCAGCTCGTCCTGGGTGGAGCTACGGCCACAGCACCAGGCACAGGTGGCGATCAGGGGCACCAGGGCCAGGATGGCGAACACGCTCATCAGGGCAATGAAGCCGGACTCGATTTTAATGGCCTAAATGGTTAGGGAAACGCCATGAAGGTATCAAAACTACATATTCGTTAACCACTCACATTGGAGGCAAAGTCCAGCAGGCTGGTATTTTTGTGTAATACATCGCGTATGGAATCTGGAACACAATAAAGTGTGAATAGCCTTCAAAATTAATAAAGAGTAACCTAGCAGTCCATCTAAGATTATAGGGTAGTGAACCAGAAGGATATGTATAATATTTACATATAATTAACCCCTGCCTTTGTCATTCAAAATGTAAAAACCCTCTTATACCTGGAGAATATCGAAAAGCATAACTCGAAATCTACTTAAACAAAAGACCTGAATAAGGACATTTGCAATACAATGAAGAATAAAAAGCTTCTGCTTGGAAGACTTCGGAAAACCGTAATTTTGATATATCTATCTTAAAGATGCCGAAAAGTATCACACACAGGACAGCAGCCTTCAATTCCCTTACTTTATACACTTATAATCCAATCCCATCGAATATAACATTTAAATTATAACTAATTTCAAACATAAGTCAAAAATACGCAATGAAGTATAGTAAAAGCTAGCAAACAAAACACTAAACAACAAAAAAATTATTAAGCAAATATATTAATAGTCTCCCGTTGCTATAGCTTCTAGAAATTAATTTTACCTTGTATTTTTAACTAAAGCACAAAATAATAATAATATTTAGAGGACTGTTAAATGTTTTGATACCAACGTAGCTAAATAGTTTCTAACATAATAAAATCATTTCCCAACGCATCCATCTCAACTAATGTTTATTTTACAATCGGTTCGGAAGCCTCACTGGACAAGGGATCTGGATCAGCCTGCTCCTCGTTCAAGTGCTGGATGACCACCACGTTGCAGAGATTGGCCTGGACCAGAGTGCGGGTGTCTGCTTCGAGGAGTTCCTGCCGTGGAAACGCCGTCATCAGGACGAAGTTTCGACTGGAGAGCTCGGGCCGGACCTGTCGAGCATAGCTATAGAGGTCACCAATGTTGTGGGTGAGATTGAAGCGTCCTGCCACTCGACTTCCATCGGCCATTCTCAGTTGCACAGTGGTTATGGCGGCCAGTTCGTCGAGGTGAAGGGTTTGAGGTTCCATCGGTAGTGGTCCGTCCATTATTATTCGGGAAGGAGGACTGTTGAGGGGTCTACCAGGACCCATGAACTGTTTCCTGGACAGGTGACGAAAGGATTCGTTGGTGTGGTCCTGAACACTCAGCTCAACCCTGGGCACCCGCAGCATTTCCTCCGGGAAATCTCCGCTCAAAACGGCACGTAGAAATCGCTCGTTTTCGGGCAGGGCATACAACCTCAAGTTGCCATCGTCCAGGGAAAATCCCTCCGACCAGAGATGCAGGACAACTATGGTGTGCTCGCCATCGGTGGTTTCCGCATCCGAGTCTTCCTCAGCGATCTGGGGAGGTGGGTTAATAGGATGGGCACTACCCAGTCGAGTGCCATGGCCCCAGACCCGCAAACTTCGATCGCTGTCGTTGTTGGTGATGGCCGGTGTGGAGTTCTCGATGATCACCCTCTTGCCCACTGGCAACTCGTGATCGGAGGAACTTCCGGAGGCGCCTGCCTGGTAGCCATCCACCTCCGTCTCGTACGTTCTGCTGGCCATGTCCAGGGACCAGTTGTTGGAGCTCAGGTACTGACGCGCCACCTCCTCCCGCACCCCATGGCGCTTCATGAAGGTGCTCAGCTTCTGCTCATCGGTCATCTGGGCAGGCACCAATCCAATTTCGGGGCTGTTTCGATGGAGTGAGTTTACAAACACATGTTGCCCGAAGGCTGATCACTGACGCAAGGCCGCCTGTGCCTTGTGGCACACCCACATTCCCCTTATTCTCTCGACCAACATGAATTTCTAATGGAATGGGGCCCCTTTTTAGGTATAAGTGCCATTGAAACTATTTAAGCCTTGATGGTTTTAAACCTACACCCAGAAAAAATAGGGTTGTTGTGTTTAAATTCAAGTATGTTAAAATAACACAAAATTTGAAATCTACAATTTTCCAATTGGATAAACAAATTAAATATAATAATAATTATATAAACATGTTTTAAGTTAATTGGAAGTAAGTTTATATATTGAAAAACAATCTTACATTTAAGTATTTGAATTTTTAATGTTACTATGGGTTAAAGCCTAAGTAAGCAGGGGCAGGGTATGGTGACCATGTTTTCTATCAAATTATTATATATAGAGAAGGATTTTTAATTTAAATAAAATAATTTCTGACCGAATTTCATTGATATACTTTTTTTATAATTAGGTTTCCTAACCAATATGTAAAATATGTGTTCATAACAAATGAAAGTTTAAATACTATTTTAATACTTAATTAATTATTGTTTAACCATTTCCTATTACTGTTGAACTGATGAAATTAGTTAAGATTTATAAGAATGCGGGACAGATTCAGACATTGTAATTTTTGCTTAAAAATTAAAGTTAATTTAGACTATTATATCTAAATCATATTAGTAAGATTTTTTCCTGTGTGCACTATTTAACCAAGCACTTCCATCTGTGCTGAATAACTTGCCTACCTATCAAATGCCGTCCTGAATTTACATCTCTAATGCCTTCATTGTTGGCTAGCAGACAGTGTGGAAACCGAAAACCCAAAACCCACAACCCATTCCCCTGATATCCTTCGAACACATATGCACCCCTACAAGGACACGCCTCCATGGCGACAAAGGGGTGGTTGAAAGGCTGGTTGAGAGGGCGGTAAGGACTTACCCAGCGGCAATTCCTCGGGCGTGATAAGCGATAAAAATTCACTAACGTAGGTGAATATAAATGGTCCTGGCGCTATGTCCATGCCTGGTATGCTGTAGGTAAAAAATGTGGCTGGCGTTGTTGTTGCTGCTGCATCCGTTGACGGTGTTGTTGCTGTTGCTAATGCTATTGTGGAACCAGCCAGCGCAGATGTTGTCGGTCCTCCCGCAGTTCCGACTCCCAAGCCCGCCATCACAGCCGCTGCTGCCGCTGCTGCTGCGGATGACGAGGACATAATTGTTGTTGCGGCTGGCGTTGGCAGTGTTAGATTACGCTGGTCCATCTTCGGCCGGATGGCTGACTTGCCTTGGCTGGTCCTCCGTTCTGCGAATGAATTAATGCGGAACAGGCATGACCATCAAGGCGAGGTCGAGCAGGAGGAGGAGACCGTATCCGGCAAAACCAAACCCGTAACCCAAAACACTCACATGGGCGGCCACGGAGAATGTTGTAAAATATTTTCGGAATTTTATGTTCCAATTATGCATTCATATGTATGTTTCTGCGCTGGCTTGCAGGCGGGATTTGGCCTTCCAGAAGCACTAGAAACTAGCAGGGGTCCCTAGTAACTCACTGAGAGTATGTGACATTCACCAAATTAATGAATATTGCAGAGCCGTGAGGAATTTGCACATATTTTTCACACAAATTTAATTTCCGGCGACCTAAATTTTGTTTATTAAATACTAAGTGATCCTTTGTTGAGGCTAACTTAAAGGTGTCGTCTGAATATTTTCTACAGCAATATATAAATATAATAAATATTTATGACAGAATAGTTTCTATGGGAGCTTAATTTTATTTATTCACGCATGGGCAACATAAATCTATTAGGTGTCACCCTAAGCTGTTTGTATATATTAAGTATACGCAACGTGTGCCTGAATTGTTTGTAAGTGCATTTATGTTCACTGTGTTTAAAACATTTTGAGGGTTTGTTAAGTTTTTTAATATATTCTATAAAAAAATGCCCAACATAAACAAATGATTAAATTTACTAATATTAAATATACGCAGTGTATTCAATGTAAACCAATTTTACTTTTGAATGGGTCTGTGTATTTATATGACCCAAGCTTTTTTTATCTCTTAAAGTTTAAGAACAAGTTTCCTAAAGTTTTAAAGGTGGCTTTATTTAATCAAGTATCCGCAACGTATGCCAGCGCTGCATTCCTGTCAAGGTGCTGTTCCACTTAATTGCTGTCCCTGAATGTTGCCTTGAATTGAATTCTTCACCTCTTAATTCTATTAATTTCATTTTTCGCTTTGTTGCTATCTTGCGCTGTCTTTGCCCTTTCCAATGTTGTCAACACACAATAGACAAAAAAAAGAGCTGACAAAAAAGCAACCAAAAGCGACTATTTCACCTCCTACACAGTACACATATCAATGGGTAATGACTTTCAGAGACTGTGAAATTACTCTTTCTTTGTTTTATGCTGTTCTCTTTTTGCATTTAGTGGCTCTGCGACCAGACATCTCTTTTGGGGTCTGAAGAAGTACTGGAGAGGAAGAACACCCCGGGTGGAAGCCCCTCAAGTGACCGTTGGTTAACTCAACTCATTTGTTTTCCTTGACAATACGACGTTCGCCGTTTGCCGCCTTTATCGGCCATTCATGCTGGCCATTGGGCATTGGCCATTGGCCATACTAATTGCTCTGCCAGGGGACTTTCGGAATTAGAGCAAACCAATACAGATGGCTGGCCGAACTAAAATAGTCTTGAGCTGGAAAGTGGGTCATTAAAACTCGATACCTCGATGCATTGGGTGGTACTTTGCAATGGCTCCCCCTTGTTCTATCTCTATCTCTACCTCTCTCTCTATATATATATATATGTACATTACAGAACTGGCTGTCTTGCTGTCTTGCTGGCTCTGCATGGGCGATTATGTTAGCCAAGTGGACACGAGTCAAGGCGCTCGAATTTGCTGGCCAAGCTCTTTCGAAGGCAACTCGATACGCAATGTGTGGACTTGTTGTCGCCTATTATCTCCCCATTATTATAGCCATTGCTCTGCTTGTTAGAAAGATATTAGTGAAAGCCGTTCAATGATAACAGACGAAGTATTATGAACCGAGGTGGCAGAGTTCAATGCATTGGGTCACACCCACTAAAAGGCTTTCAAAGTGAAGATATTCGCATTACTTCAAAATGGGGTAGAGATTATATTTTTTAAGTAATGGAAGGGGCTTAAGTTTGAAGTATAAGGAAATTTAAAAGCTATAGTTTGGATGCCTTCAAGTAACTTAGTGAATTTTAAAATGCATATCACAATGATTAAGTATCATTTTGTATTGCCTAATTTAAAGTTCCTAATAAGTTCTTATAATTGCTTTATTATAAACCTTCTCCAATACTGTTTAAACTTTACATACTCTTTGTAAAGTTTACATACTTTTGTAAGGCAAAATAACACGTGTCAAAAACTTAAAACCAAATTAAAGTCAGCAATTTGCATTGAATATTATGAGTCAGACTTAACGCTCCAATTTGTGCTAATACACCAGATTCGATTAATTAACAAATTGCACGCCAAATGAACTTACGCACCTCGTTTGGGCTTCCAATTAATTGATTGATGTCGAATCGAAGCCTTTTTTCTCTCTCTCTCTCTCTCTTTTTCTGCTTTTTCTCTCTTCCGCCCTCGCTAAGCACTAACACACACTTTACACATGCATATATGGTGTGATTATGGGTTTGACTTTGCGAACCATGCTTTTAATTGAACGTTATTTAAATTCGACTGCAATTAGTTTGATATGTTGATTCGTTTCGTTTATTTGAACACTCCGTTACCGAATCCCAAAATTGAGTTGAAATCGATTTGTAAATGAGCACATTTGAAAACTCGTTTGTTGACCGTATGCGATTTTGCGACAAATTTTCGGTGTTTACATTGCATGCAATCAACCCGGCAATTATCAACCAATTAATTATTCATTTTCACATAATTAGTAATGGTGCTAATGGCCATGAGTATATGGTGTGTCCTGACTCGATTTTTCTCGCGATTTTACCACAAAGCCTGACCAGCGCCGTTTGACGACTGAACGGTGAAAAGGTTTTAGGCCCAAATAATCAGCAAAGAAAACTTAGAAATTTTTCCCTGTTTTACTATTTGCATTAACCGAACAGCGGGTGAAAATGGACAATAGGCGTATGGTGAATACTGACTGTAAGTTCCATTTGTTTTCTCACTTAGGGGAAAAGCACGTGCTGCTGAGGCGGGAAAACCCATGTTTATTGGAAGAAAAACAGAGAAACACTGGCCTAATGGGCATTAAATTATGTTAATACCAAGCCTTTAAATTTTTGTAAAAAATTTAGCGCGTTTTTTGGTAAACATCAATTAAGATGTGTATGTTTGGCAGTAAAAAACTAAAAGCATTTGCTTGTGCTAAAAAAATACACAAATATACAGCCTAAAAAAATTAAAAAAAATGAGTTCTCATTCCTGAAAATGTTTTAAATCAAAAGATTTAATAGAGTTATTTTCTTAAGCCGTGAAGGCAAATAAAAGATAAAACCAAACAAGCAGATTTACCTTAATTATTCTATATAAATATAATTTTTTTTTGCATACGCCTGAAAAGTTGAAAAGTTTTGCTTTCCCGTAAAAAATAAAATTTGTTTTATTAAACATTTTTTATATGTATTTGATGCCAGAAATTCAAGTCATATTCTTTACGTTCTAATTAGTATGCCTCAAACCAAATGAATTTCTAAAATCAGATATTTCGTGGACACACCCTTTTTGTATATAGAGTCTGGCTAAAAGCTCTTTAGTTTTCATGGAAATGCCAAATATATCTCATAAGCACTAACGACCAATTTCGCAGTTTGTGTTTGTGTTGGCGGCAGGCGCCTTGAGCTTTGCATTAAGTAGACTTTACTTTAAAGTTGCATCAACGCCAGGCCAGACAAAGTTTTGCCATCGCTGAAAGCCGAAAGCGGAGCGGGCTAAAGTTAAGCACAACGAAGGCAAACATTCGGGGCGGGGTCGTCATTTTCCCCGGCATTTTCCCAGGCATTTTCCTCAACATATTGTCAGAGCTCGCAGCGGGATACGCCAATGACAACGACAACGAAAGCGACAACGACAACGACAAGCACAACGACAACGACAAGGACAACGCCTGGGTGCCTCTACTGCCTCTACTGCTTCGGTGGCAGAAGTGCCTTTCATGGCTAAAATTCAATTTGCCTTTGATTTATGCATTTTACGTCAGATTTGCACGGCTGGCGTGAGGCGAAGAGGCTTTCAAACTTAAGGTCTGAAATGATGGCCCCGAGTTGGGCTCCCTCACAACCGGAAACATCCGCAAAGGTGCATCCAGTTTGGCAGCACCGATAGCAGATATTCACATTCGGATTCGCATTCGCATTCACTTCCGGTCTTTTGGGTTCTCCTTTGTGTGCATTTGTCGTCCTTTGTGCGCTGTATCAATGACAGCCGTGGCCAAAAAAATGACTCATTCCGCACTGCAAATGCGGCTGCCTGGCGCCAAAAAGGACGAGACTACACCGAAGGTGCAAAAGTGGGGTGGGCAAGCTACAAGAAACTAATGGACTACAGCATTAAATGTTTGTAGGCATCGGAGTTAGAAATTAGCAAGCCTTTAATAAGTTTAAATTATGTTTACCAGGAGTTTATCGGACATCTCTCTCAACTTAGAAGATGTGCTGAAAAATCGTTTTTAGATTTCGATTGATAGAGATCTGTGACACTCTCATACGTATAAAGGGAAATATTTGAAATCCGCTTTAAGAAATACTAAATCAGATAGAATTTCATTTTCTACATTTCCACTCAAAGTCGCTAATTTGTAAGCTTAAATTTTAGGCTTATCCTTATGAAATTGGAACATTAACCCATCTTATTTATTTTACGCTTAATCTTTCAAATTATTTATATATATTTTTTATAATTATAATAAAGTTTGTACTTAAAAGAGTGATAAATTGTTTCAATATTATAGTATTTTATTTTTTTCTCATAAGAGTATTTTTTATCAATTTACTAGAATCAGTATGAAGGGAGTTAGAAAAACACAGCTTGGGGCTGCCTTAAAGCCACAATCAGATAGGGATTGGATAGTGGCCACAATCCAATCCTTGTAGTATAGGAAGTTCAGGAACTGCATAGCCTTGCCGCCGGCGCAGCCCAAGTGCCCGGTTATGATGCCCAATAGAGCGCCGTTGCAAATCAGTGGTCCGCCCATGTCGCCGGCACAAGTGCTACCCTCGGTTTTGGGCTCCACACATACATTCAATTCTGGCGAAAAGGAACGCAAAAGCTCTTTGCAATACGAGGGCGGCCTTAGAACAACGTCCATATAAAGAAGTTCATCCGCATAAGGACCGTGCTGGGAATTATAGCTGTTGTTATAAAATATAAGTTATTCGGGGTACAGGGCATTATCTAACCTGATATACCTGACCCCAGCCGATAGTGATGCAAGAATCGCCATAGGTCACATTGGCCACTTTGCGCAAAATAATGGGTACAACATTATGGTTGGCGCTGTGCAGGCGTTCCGAGAGTCTCAGGATCGCCAGGTCGTTCTTTTTGAAGCGTATGTATTCCGGATGGACCACCAAGCGATCCACACTTCTGGTGTCGATTTCTTCATACGTGGCCAGTCTTCTTATATTCCCGAGCACCACCCGAAGGCCCCGTGGATTCATCGAGGATTTGTACCGGCTACGGGGGGTATGACTATGTGAATGGATGTATTATCACGAAGGACTAATGGCACTTACTCCGCTACACAGTGGGCAGCAGTTAGGACAGCTCGACTGCTCACCATGACGCCGCTGCAGAAGTGATTGTCTCCCCGGTGGCGCACATAGTTCTGGGTGCGAATGGAGACGACATGACGGGACAGCCGGTGGCTCTTCGGCCTATAGCCGCCCGATATCAACATCTCGAAGGATTCGTCACTAATATCGCTGATCGCACCAAGCTCGGCCTCGACCAGCGAACTGCATAAGATCAGTCCTATCAAAACAATCACAATTTCCATTTTAAAATTCCAAATCAAATACTTGAAGGCTATTTAAATGAATAAGTATTTTTATGTATGGTGTGAACTTTAAATAAAGGGGAGGTCTACAGAAATCTCTCGGGTTTATAAAGGTCATCAAAAGTAGGCAACAAGAAATTCGAGTGTTGTCTTTCGTAAAAAGTCTATTGGTCTTGTAGACACCTTTATAAGTGATTTAAAAATGCTTGGAATTTCTTAAGCACCTGTCAATAAATCACTTCTGATATGCTGTTTGATGGTTTGCCGACAAGTACCCCCATAAAAATGAATTATCACTTATTGCTTAAACGGATTCCGATTATATTCAAGAACCTTGATAGCCAACTCGCACCTGTCCCAGATTAAAATATAAAAATCCAAATCAAGTTGGTCATTATATGGTAAATTCAAGTTGACGTGCTTGATAAGGTAATCTTTCAAGTTGTTATCAATTTATTAGTAAACTAGGAGGAATATACTTTCTTATTCAAAAATATCTTATTTACTTTAACTTCCAAAAACTAAAAATCTTATTTAATAAATTGTATAAATTTTAACTTGTTTTAATCAATGTGACTTTTTTTAAAGAACCAAATGTAATAAGTAATAATTATAGTAAACATTTATTGTTTATTGTCGTTCAAACTCATTTAAAGACCTTTTAAAATTAACGTGTTCTTTTGAAAATATTCATCGGAACAATGTGAAATTTTCTGAGTGTATTCTTAAGTTTATGTACACCTTTTCCCGATAAAACCCACAATAATCACTCGGCCATAGGGCCACACTGCCATATTACAATGCGCATCCGATGGACGTCAAGGGCCATTTTGAGGCAGCCAACCGCAACAGCAATAACAGGGCCATAAAGTAAACACTTGCCTTTTTGCCATCATGCGCTCCAGAATTTCTGTGGCGAGGCAAATATTTAGCAGCTGACACTCGTTGCGAGTGGCAGTTGAGGCGCTTTGGGCGGATGGATATAATGCAATTTTGCAGACCGCCCCGCCACCCGCTACAAATTAAATTCAAATTGTGAACGGATGCAAATTTAATGAAAAGCCAGCGGCAAAGCGGCAACAACAAAGTCGCCGATGGCCAAAAGCAAAGGCGGGGAGCCGAGAACCGAGACCAGAAACCAAAACCGAACAACATGGGACAGGCGCAATAACCAGAATTAAAGCCGCACTAATGAGCAGAGACAATCCCGAAAGAGTAGCGCAAATGTGCCAACTGCCGGTTGGCCAAAAAGTGGGCGGCATGACCGCACTGGGCGTGACAGCCCCCCAAAACCGCTGGCATTGTGGCCACTGGATGTGGATGTGGATGTGGATGTTCACATGGATGTGGCTGTGACTGTGACTGTAAATGTGAATGCGGATGCAAATGCAGCTGGCTGCTGCTGTGCTGGCCAAGTGATTTTGGCCAAAGTTAAAGTGGTTTTGGCACCAGTTGCAACAAAATGTGCCGGAAGTCACGTTCCCACTCGTGCTGCCAAATGAACTGGTCCGTGCCCAAGACGAGTCCGGGAGTAGAGCTTTAATCATGAGCTAGTTATGGTCTCATTATGCCGGCAACGACGAAGGCCTTCGATGGGTCAGCTCGGCCACGGGCATGAAGCCGGAGTCGCCGAGGCAGCGCAAGGTCACATAGCCCGAGGGCCACACAGTTAGCCAGGTGATGGAGCCGTGGTTCAGGTTGAGCCGCGTCCACGCAGCCGGCGGCAGTTGCAAGGCCCGCAGGATCAGATAGCGGATCACATTCGAGTGGCCCACGATGAGCAGGTAAGAGTCGTGCTCCTGCTCCGGACTGGCCCTGAAGAAGTACCGCCTGAAGGCGGCCTCGATCCGCGGGCCATCGCGTCGGTAGGCCAGCTCCAGGCTGCGGGCACTCCTCTTGGCGGGCGGATCGCCCGGATGGGGAGTGCCCTCGGGCAGCAAGGTGCAGCGCTTCATCTTCAGGGGATCGAGGTTGAGCTGCTTCAGGATGATCATGGCCGTCTCCTCGGCCCGCGGCATTGTGGAGGCCACCACATGGTCCCAGCTCAGGTCCATTTCCCGCAACCTTTGGCCCGTCCTCTCCGCCTGCCGACGTCCCAGCTCCGTGAGGTGGCTTCCGTTCAGGGTCTTCGTGTACTCGCCATGTCGCACCAGGATAATATGTCGCAGGGCCGACGACTCCGCGCCATTCGACACCTTTTGCAGCTGCGGCTTGCGGAGATCCCAATGATGCAGCCAGGCGCCACTCAACTCCCTCTTACCCTCTCCTTCCTCTCCACTCGGAAAAATCGAGGATTTCTGGGCATCGAGCAGCCGAAGGGTCAAGTAGGTCACCAAAGAACCACAGCTCATGGCGCCCACCGAACGCCAAAGAGCGGAATATCTCATGGCAGTTTGTTTAACTCAGAAGTATATTTGTGAAATATTGTAAAACCAAACTTTAAACTTCAAAATAACAAAATGACACTTCCAGCTTCTCTTGACTCTCTATAATATTCCAATAAATAAGACTACCCATCATAATTTATTCAGCACATTTAAAAGCCTATTCACATCACAGTCATCCAAACTCTTAAATAACCAGCCAATTATGTTTTTAACTCCATTGCAATGGCAATCAACTTTGACTCTTCAGTGGGTTTTGTCGCACTTTTAAAAGTTTATTCAGATTTGAGTTTCCTTTCTTGATTAGCATTCAAGACAAAGAAGATGGGGCTTTGAAAGAGTTGGAAAAGTGGACTCTTGAAAGGTTTTGGCCGGCCAAGTTTTGTGTCAAAGTTGTTTTACCCTCGGCAGGATACTCGAGAACAACTTTTGAGCGGCAAACTTTACGCCCATCCACAATCAGGCGGCGAAAAACCGAATAAGTTAGCAAGGTGATGCCATGGAAAACTGTCAACTGTGAACTGTGAACTCTGAACCTATTCGAATGGGAAATCTCCTGCAAATGAGTGCCTTTTTGCCTACCCATTTTAATTCTCAGGCCATTTAATTTCTGCCAGTCAGCCAGAAAAGGGCAACCGGCCTATCATTCGCTAAATAACTTTGTCCAAGTTTTTGCTTCATTTAATTTCAGCGTGATGGCCATGAGGAATGTTGGGACCACCGGCATATCCACAAGTGGCTGACCATGGCTGCCAGTTCCCCAGTCTGTTGGCCGTCGGATTTGGCCTAATGAAGTTGACTGAAACTTTTGACGTGCCACCACCACCGCCACCAAACGAGGACGTCCAGAAGTTGAGAAGTTGTCGGTGGTTCACCCCCATCGATTGGTGACCACATGGAATTGAAATTAAGCAAGTTTCCTGAACAGATCAGGCTAATGCCGGTTTATCTGTTCGCAAAAGAGGATTCTGTGGTAAAAAGAGCTTGACGGCTTTGGCTAGTATTTCACCCTGACACATTTATTAAGCCAAGGATACAGAGAAAAATAAAATGCTTGCTAAAATTATTTTTTTAGGTTTTATTGCTCGATGTTATCAAATGTTACTAATTAACGAAACTCAAAAATAAAATAAACTTATAAAATCATTGACCCTGAACGCTTAAGCACAAAAGTAGAACAGAAATATCTTCAGTTGTGTTGAATCGCTTTAAAAGGTGTCCAAAAGTAGGCAGAACAATAATTAACGTTGCCTTTCATAATATATCCAAAGGACTTTCGCTTTTAAACATATTGTTGCATACTTTTACACACCTTTTTAACTCTTTTAAACACTAGAAACTTCTGTGGCATACTTTCGCACACATTTTAAATTATTTTGCTAGCTCTTGTGATTTCTGTGGCATTCCCACAAGTTTTTTGATTAAAAAAAATTATTGTTGTTTTATTTAAATTCAATTTAGGTATAAATAATGTAAAGTTTAAAAAAACTTGTCTTTCCTCTGCTTTTTCTTCGTAGTTTTCCCACGTCAAATAGTAAAGTTCATATTTATTTACCACTATTGCATATATAATTGCATAGTACGTTAAATAAATTGCATATTATTATTGAACTGCCGTTTTTCCTGTGCACTCACACTCACCTGAGCTTGTCCTTGCACTCACACACATATTCATTCAGCTACTTTTGTGGGGTTCTCGGAATAAGCCACTTGAAGTAACCATAAAACAGGTCTCGCATTGTGCGGCCTAGAAACGTGGGGATTACTCTTACAAGGTGTTTGAATAAGTACGTGTGTGAAAGGCGGTTGCAATGGTAATGGTGGGTGTGAATGCCAGACAAGTCAATTTAAAGTTGTAATTCATATCCTGGCAACAACCATGAAATGCATTGAAAAACTCCTCGAAGGAGGGCTTATAGCTGGCAATTTAATTTAAAGAACGAAAGTTATGATAAACGGGAAATGGAGTTGATAAATACTGCCTTTGTAAATTTTGGTCAGAGCCCACATTTGAGTTTAAATCCAACAAACTTTATAATGTTCCAATATGGAAGTTGCTATGACTTTTAAGGTGTATTAATACTATAGCCTTAACGTTAAATAAATATATATTTTAAACTTCCTTCCTTTGCCTGGACCCTTTTTTCCCTTAATTAATTGCCATCCGTTTCAGAGAAGAAATAATTTGCCTTCACATGCAAAAATTGTGCAAAAGCCATCTCCATAATCACTGCAGAGATAGAGCCTGTACTTCTGTGTAGTTTATGTTTTCAATTTCATCAGCATTAAACTGAAACGAGGACGAGGAAAGCTATTAACTTGATAATCCCAAGCCATCTGTATCTGCTTTTCGGTGAGTGCGGGCAACTGGGGCAGCTGACACCATTTCCTTCTTGAATTTGCAAACAAATTTACACGAATTTGATTATTATTATGATGGCAATTTGCAAAAATGTCATCCTTCAAGCAGAAAAAGGAACGAGCGAGCGGAAATTTCTCATTGCATAAAGTGGGGCATCCCCATCGCCATCGCCATCGCCATCGCCATTGCCATCGCCATTGCCTCTGCCATTTCCATACAGGGTGACCAGTCGAGGAGAATGGAGTCCCATCCTTTGGCCATAAGGACAAATGGGTGGCCACCCATTCCGGCTGGAATTGGATTCCTTGGGCGTAGTCCTTGGCGGCAATTGTCCCGTGCAACGTGGAGTGGACTCGCACAATTCCCTTACATTCAGCACTGCTCCGCCTTATCGCGGTCACCCATAATTATGGTGTTCGTCTTGGCTGGAACCTCTTGGCCTTTTCTGCCTTTACAGCCAAGTCGCAACGCATCCTGCTGCAGGATGTTCAATTTTCGCTTGCCTTTCATGTTGCCCCGCCATTTTGATTTCCTTATTTGGATTTTTCCTTTCGTTTTGCATTACTTTAAGTGGCCGCGACCCAGTGCCACACCCACGCCCTCCATTTTCCCAGCTAGCAAATTATCTTGTGGCAAAATCAAAAGTTTTCCTGGGGAAATTGTGTCAAGGCCACAAAACGCTCGCAGCCGGATCCGAGAAATTATTGCGGAAACGGATAGCAAAGCCGCAAACATTGTTTAACTTTCATTGCCGCTTGCTGGTGTTCGTGTTTTTGTGCTCAAATATAACTACACACAAAGCAACAGCGGGGAAACAAAAACAAATACAACAAATACAAATTGCCAATGAAAGGCAAGTTCCCCATTGCGGTTCGACCTTGTGACTCTGTTGTGAAAGGATAAGCACTTTGGTGTTCGCAAAATTTTCAGCGGGCACATAAATATTTAATTTCACAATTTTCCAGCTTGCACGCACAAAGCAAATGGGATTATTTTTAAATATTTAATGGGTACATGCGATACGTATTGTGTTCAAATAAACTCAATTAATTGAGTCTTGTTAAATGTTTTGTGATGTTCTTTAAATACAGTACTTTATAAATACTCTTCATGTTCATTTAAACTTTTTTTCAGGAGTTCAAAAGATCTGTACTTCAAACTAAATAAAATTTAACGTTTATTCCTTAGTTCTTAGATAATTGAACTATAACTTAGAAAATTAAAATGTAGTTAAATTACAAATGAAAATTCTCTTAAAGCCCTTTGGCTTAATATTTTACTTTACTATGATACACATTTCAAAAATATTATGCAATTCCTACTTTTGTATACTATTTTAATTTGCATTTTACTTATATTGAAAAATGGGTTCCTCTTCATGTTAATTTAAATGAAAAAAGATTACCATTTAGTTCATTTAAAGTTTTTTGTCTGCTCAGTTTTCAATTCGAAATGGCATCTTTAAGACCCTTGGCGGTGCAATAAATCTCTGAGTCGTATAATTCAGAGGCGATGCAATTTGAAGTGAAAACGGCTTGCAGTTGCAGTCGGTAAAAAATTTAGAAAACAGAAAACGGAAACGGAATGCGGAAACAACAGAATTGTGCAGGAGAGCTTAAAATATGGCTAGCCCAACGCACACATCGGCAAACATATGGTACACTTAATAGCTCATACGCCATGTTGGTCCCTTTGTTGACTGCCATCGTTTGTTTACGGTTTAGTGGATTAATGTTTGAGAGAAAAATACAAATGAAAAAAAACAACAAGCCAAATAAAAGTCAGCTCGAGGAGCTGTATAAGGTATGGTAGAAAAAGGCAATGCTTGGAAATTTGTTGGCTCTTTTGAAGTTAAACAAATCTGCATAAGGTGGGGCCAAAAGCCGTTACAATTTATGGCTCAAGCCAGGGGCTACGAACGGGTCCGGACTTAACTCTATATTTGCTTACTTTCAATGTGCTCCCCATAAATTTTATATTTGTGCTAGTCGGCTGCATTTGCAGTTGGCTTGTTGTTCATTTCTAATTTGATTGCTTTGTCCCGCTTTGGACTACTGTTGACTTTCTAATGGAAATCTAATGATATTGTCCTTTAAAATTATTGCATTCACTGCACTTCAATTTTCGTCTTTGATTTGCGGCAGAGTTGCAATCAAAAACGCATTTTTCTCCCCCGTTTTGATTAGTTAAAAAGCCACAAACGAGAAACTTGCTCATTTCATAATTTTTGGTTTTTCGGCAAAACTTTTATGCAATTACATTTGTGGGCACTCTCAGTTGCCTTTTGCGAGAAAGCCCTCGAAAGAAATAAATATTACTTAAATGAGGCAAACTTCGAAATGGAAGTGAAGGCAGCCCATTGGAGGAGCTATAAAATTCAAATGCATGAATATATATGTGACTCGATTGTCCGGCAGATCAAAAGCTTTCTGCCTCAGCTGCATTTTCGGGTTGAAACTATCTAGTGTTACAACAATTGCCCCCAAAATCGCAATAAATATCCATATTTAACTATAATAATTCATATATACTGCCGCCTAAATCAAACTAACAAAGGGCAAAAAATACATGCACACGTTTATGTTCTGGCAATTGAACAATTCTTTGGTTGAATTCCGCATATGGTTATGGTTGTGGAATGTTCTATACTACATGTATAGAACAATGCCAACGACTGGGGACTCACGGAT